TAAAACTATCATTATTTTTTTTATATTATTACACAATTGTCACTACTTTTTACACTAATATAATCACAAGGACAAAAAAGTTATTTATCCTTACATTTTATCCCCTACTAATATAATATCAATATTCCTTAAATCTCATCTCCAATACAATAAGACTATACTTTTGGGACGGAAGGAGTATAAAAATAATAAATATATATAATACTCCATTCGTCATAAAAAAAACTGTGTTCATTCTCTTTCTACTTGACAAATGAATTGAGCATAAATTTGAATGACAAGAGTAATATATTATTATTATTTTTTTTGAAAATGATGTATATTTGTTTTACAAAAAGCACGCTCAATCTTTTTCATTCTAAAAAATATAGAAAAATTGCAGCAGGATATTAGGTTTGATCGGAAATTTATCAAGTACACACTTTCGGGTAACGGCTGCGGATTCCCACGTTATAAAAAAATAAAAAATATATATATATAGAAAAATTGCAACTTGACAATTTTTTGTTGCTTAGGGGGAAAAAATGATTATCTCAAGACATGACTTCAATTTTCCAAGTTGCACCAACTAAAATATATATATATATATATATATATCCACCTTAAAGAGTGTTTTTATGTTAATCGGTTTGTAGTTGGAAGTTGTGTTTTATTTTATTATCGAGAAATGAAATATTGGTTATTGTAAGTTATGTTATAATGTAATATATATTTAATTAAAAATAAATTTAAAATATTTTGAAAAAGATTTTGAAATGATACTTAAATGTGAGTGTATTGTTATTTTAAAATAGAACAAAATTTTATACAATGCACAAAAATATAATATACTCCCTCCGTCCAAGCCAAAAGTATACAATTATTTTTGGCGCGGAGATTAAGGAATAATAGTATTTTAATTATAGTGGGTAGGTAAAAATAGTGAAATGACACTTTTACCCTTACCTTTTTGGTATAAAAGTAACGATGTGATGTAAAGTAGGGGTATTTGTGGAAAAAATGAAGTATTTAATGAAATAGTTACTTTGTAATTGGACGTTCCAAAATAGAAATATGTATACTTTCTAACTGGACGGAGGGAGTATATTATAGTTATATATAACGAAAATGAATTAATTTATAAAAATAGAAAATTTTAAATATATATAAATATATTTATATCGGTCTGGTTACTGTGTTGAATTAGAGAAATTAACGATTTCATCGTTAAACACATTTGAATTATACAAACAATACAAACTTGTTACTATGTTTAATTTTCACCACTTTTACAATTTATGAATTTAAAGAGATTATTAATTTTTCTTTTTCTTACAAAAATTCATTCATACATATAACATTATTATTTTTTTATTATAATTTTTCTGAAACCATTCAAATTGTATATATATATTTTTTAAATTTAATAAATAGAATCTTCATACAAATAATATTCTCTTTGTTCTAATTAAATGTATTTATTTATTTTAATAAATTAAAAAATAATAATAATATTTTATTTGTTAGTGAGAATATGTAAAATTATTTTGATATTTTTGCTTTTAAAAAAAAATAAAAATTGAATGTTTATGTAAAAATTGTATTATAGTATCTTAAATATGATTATTTTTACAATAATTAAAAATTGATATTTTTGAATAAAATACTCTCTCCGTCCCTTAACAATCTATCTATTTTTTTATTTTGGTCCGTTCCATAACAAAGTATCCATTTCTTTTTTTTTTTTTTTTTTTTTCAGTAATTGTACTATCTACTTAACATTACAAATACTATTTCAATTTACAATATATTACACAAATGTCATTACCTTTATATCATACAATACTAATAGAGTTAATTTAGTCTTTTTACCTTTATTTCTATTTTATCCCAATATAATACTAATATTTTTAAAACTCCGTCCAAAAAGCAAATAAATATATAAATATGAGACAAAGAAAGTAGATAAAAATAATAAAATAAAAATTGATATTTTTAATTACCTATTAATTACATCATATTTAAATTATGCGCCCAACCCAAATAGACAAATTATATGAGATAAAAGAGGAAATACATTCAAGGACAAATGTACATTAAGGATGCGGTCTGTTTGGGGATTGAATTTAAATATACTATTCATTTCATTTTTATTTTTCAAAAATATCAAATCAAACACCTATTTTTTATTTTTTATATTATACTAAAAATCAATTTTACATTTAAAACAACATATCAACACTTATTTATATCATATTATACAACTATTTTAATTCAAAATTTTTACTATTTAAATCTCAATTCAAAATTCAAACAAACACACCCTAATTATAAAAAGTCTTCCGCGTAAGAAGATGACGGCTATTGACTTGACAAAAGTTTAAAGATATGCACACATGTCTAATCAAATAAATTATTTCATATTATTAATTATTTAATTTATATGGATTGGGTTTCTACGTAGTAGTAGTAGTTTTCAATTAATTTAAAAGTCAAACTTATTTGAATAATCTTTTAATAAATGCCTTTGATATATATTGAATTTGAATTATAATACTTCATCCCTCTCGTAACAAAGTATTTATTTTTTTATTTTAATTTGTCCCAAAGTATCTATTTCTTTTTTTAAGTAATTGTACTATCTACTTAACATTACAAATACTCTTACAATTTACAGTATATTACATAAATGTCATTACCTTTATATCACACGTACTAATAACGTTATTTTAGTCATTTCTACTTTATTTCTTCTATCCTAATATAATATTAATATTTCTAAAATTACGTGCAAAAAATAAATTGATATTTACTTATGGGACGGATGGAGTAATATCACATTAATTGTTATTATTATTATTATTAAAGATGAACTTTGAAGATATCATATAATTCTTCTGTGATTTATATATATCTTTTGTGTCATTGTATTTAATATTAAAAATATATTTATATGTGTATAATAAGATACTAATGAAAATATTTTTATTTTTTTTAATATAATAATTAATATTTAAATATTGACACAGAAAAGATAAATATAAATTTCAGACGTGAATGAAATAAATACTATTTATATATTTTTAAGGTATTGCTTACAAATTGTACTAATATTTGTTGAAAATTTTTCTTTTAAAATAATCAAATTAATTTTATTTTTTTTTTCATTTAAATATATTATTTTTTCTCCAAAATAGTTACATTTAATCCACTGTTAAATATATATATATATATATATATATAAAAGTTAAACACATCCTATATTACACAAAATTAAATTTTCATCAAAGACATAACACCAAATATCTATATCTATCATACATAGTACTATTTTAATTAATGCTTTTAGTATTTTTAAATCCCTAATCTAAACTTTAATGGATATTTTAAAATTTGAATTTGTTCTTGTACTATTCTATTTTTCTTTTCCAAAATTATCAAATAAAGTATTTGTTTTTATTTAATATGTTTGTATTAAATTTCGTTTTCAAATAAATAAATAGATAATACGTATTTTTAATCGTTTAAATTTTTATGTGAAATCATTTATATAATGGATCTAAGTCCAAAGAGCCCAATAAGAAAATGTGTTATTTCAAATAAGGTTTTCCTATTATTAAAAATGAAGGGGAGAAACAATTTAAATAAAATCAATGTATTCTTTTGAAGTTTGGTTGTGGAATTTGATGCTAGATTTTTGTTTGAATAATAATTTAAATATCATATTTTGTAAGAAAAAATAATATATTTTTACTTAAAATTACAAAAATTGTACATAAAAAAAATAAGACTAATAAACCAAATTTCACAAAATATATATATATATATATACATAAATACATTTTTATTCAAAAATCTTCAAAGTTTACTATTTGAATTATGCATTTTTCAAAAAAAAAAAAAAACCATCTCACAAAATATTCTATTAAGCATTATTTAAATACGTAACTTAAACCAAAATTTTTCAAATAAAAAACCCAAATGAACAGAAATTTTGTTTTTTCTATTTAATCATTATGCAATCTTCATATTTTATATTTTTTTTCACAAAATATTACATGAAACTAATTCTAATTTTTTTTTTTTTAAAAAAAACAAATATATATATATATATATATAATATGAAAGTAGTATAACTTGGTGCTCTTCTCTATGGAGAAGTCATAAAAGTACTTCTATTGAAAATTTAATTTAATTACATCTACATTAACACTTGCAAATAAAATATACTACAAGTGTGTATTCAATCTAGCCTAACTATTCTTGTTTTAATATTATGTATTTGGCTGACTCTTATTGATTTCAACTCATTCATTTACACTCAAAATTCTATTATATATATATATATATTGTGATACCCTCGAATTGATAAAGTCGAAGAGTACGCGATATCCCGATATTAAATAAATTGAATAGACTACTTATATCAATAATGCGTATATTTCTTTTTGAAAATATGATATTTGTGAGTGAAGGCAAAATGTCCGGAAAGAAATCGTATTGATCTATAGGGCTAATCTAAATTAGATACGTCATCAAAATTCTACTTATAATTAAATCTTATCTACTTATTATTATTATTATTATTATTATTATTATTATTATTATTTTAATTGTTTTTTTCTATTCAGACTCATAATTATATGAAATTCGTACAATTTATTTGAAATCCTCGTCAGTTCAAGATTGTTTAGAGTTTTAAATGCCGTTTTTCTTTCCAAATTTTTTTGTAATTATTCTTATTTTGGACTTGATTAATTAGGCTCGCGACATTATAATTAAATACCGATGATTTTTTTAATTTTTTTTTTTGTTGGATAAAAAAAACTAATCCATAATGTGATTATTTGGGTCGGAATTTTGATCTTACTTTTAATTTAATTGTTTGATGTAATTTGACTTTATTTGTTTATTGGCAAATTTAGGTACTCAAACCTTGTACTTCATTATCATCTTTTTCTTTTCTTATTTATGACTTTTCAAAACATTTTTGTATATATATAACTCCACAGAGAGACCTAAACAAACACACTTCATATTATCACAAATTGATAGTTTTGAGATTAATTGTGAAGATCATGAAAACTCCTATGGAAAAATTAGCAATAATTTTAGCCGTTGCATTTTTTTGCAGCCTCCTTCGACAGGGCGCGGCACAAGATGAAAATCTGCCGTGCACGTTGCCGGGCACCAACACTACACGGTGCGCAAGGCTTCTTGCTCGCGGATTTGAGATATTTTGCTGTGACTTAGCGACAGTCGACTTTGCTTGCTTGTGCACCTCAACTAACCTTCCGGGCATCCTCGATCCGGGAACCTTGATTAATATGGGAAGAAGTTGTTCTTACCAACTTCCGGATGTCTGCAATAACTCTTTGCCTACGGTAAGTCTTGTTGATTAATTAATATTTTATGCATATCCAGGGCCGGCCCTGGGCAAGGTAAAAAAACTCACTCAGGGTTCGGTATAAAATATTTTTAGTTTGAGGTGGTTTCGAAAATTTTATCACATTTTTTTATTTATATATACTCTTTCCGTTCTAAAAGAATTGTCTTACTTTTTCATTTTGGTATGTTTCAAAATAATTGTCTTATTTCTTTATTTAGTAACTGTGGTTCCCACATTATAACGAAATTATTTCTATTTTTTCAAAACTACCCATAATTACTATATAACTTACCTTTTTAATATTTTACATTCTACTTTATACATGCATTCAATTTGATACTATTATTCCTTAATTCTCGTATTCACTCTCACTATGACACCTCTTTTGGGACAGAGGGAATATATGTATTTATTTACTCTTCTAAACATTTTTTATAAAATCATTCTAAATAGAAAATTGACACGAAGATATATAGCTAAATTAAAAAAAAGTTTTTACATTTTTTACAATACACTGGAGATATAATTTAATTATTTTTTCCTGTATGTGTCTATTTTATAAGCAAAAATAAAAATATATTACTGCATATTTGGGCTAGCTATAAAAAAATCTCGTTGAATTTTATGTTAATAAATTGTCTCTATATTTTTCAGGTAAATTAGCGAAGAAATATAACAAAATGATATGTTCTCTTCAAGCCATTTGCACCGTGTATTATTTGTTTCAAGTTTATTGTATCTTTCTTTTCAATAAGTGATGATAATTGTGCAATTGTTGATGTCTATATTCTATCATTATAAGATTTATGATATTATGCATCAAGTCATTGTCGGAAAATTGCTTCTCTTGGAACTTTATCTAGCGTATCATTTTATATTTTGGCGCGCACATATTCAAATAAAAAGAAGACAAAAAACGCTGACAAGAGTAGTCAAGATTGTATAGCATATGCGCACTTGTGATCTTCAAATCATAGGTTTAAACTCCAACGACATACCTGTCAGAAAATTACTACACATTATATACAAGACTTAAAATTGAATTATTACTATTATAACCTGTCACATAGAGTTTAGAAAGAAAATAAAATAAAAAAAAAATCATGCGGGATTTTTATTTTTTATTATTATTATTATTTGGGAATCGATAAAAATTAATATAGGGATATGTGTCCAAAACTTATTCATCACATAAATATATAATTAGAATATTCTAAAATATATGTATCTCAATAACTATGAAGTATATATATACCTTATATTATATATTTATATTATTAAAATGATTAAATTATAAGTATTTATTCATTATTTAATTAAATATCAAATTATCTATATTAAAAAATAATTAATTTATATAAAAAATATAGTATAAAAATACAATTTATATTAAATAAAATAATAAATTTATTGATAAATTAGAAACATAAATTCAGGAAACTCAAAACATCATTCTACGATATTAGTAAAAAATTAGTAAACATAACGTAGAAAAAAAAATTCGAGAAAATAAACTACAGTACTACATTGTAAAACATAAAATAATACTTCGTCTGTCCACAAACTAACGTCCTACTTTCCTATTTGAAATGTCTAACAATTATTATCTTTTTTTTTTATTTTTATACACAAAATTTACTATTTTACCTTTACTTTATTTACTATTTCATTTTCTATACACAAGATTAAGGGTAAATTTATCATTTTATAACAAAAATCCTAATGGCTAAAAATGCTTGTAAATATCAAATAGGACATTAGAAAATTGGCGAAGGGAATAATAAATATAATAATAATAATAATAATAATAATAATAAAATAAATAAATTTAACAAGTACAAAATACATTAAGCCACATTATTGCAAAAAGCTACATACTAAGATTGGAATCATGAAAATATTACAACAACATCACAATCTTTTTATTAATCCCACACGAACATGAAGGGCAAAGACTTATTGCCGACGGCTACGAGCTTTTTAACACATAATAATAATAATAATAATAATAATAATTTTGTCTTTGTACGACATATGTTCGTGCCACAATGAACAGTAGCCACACAAGTTATATCTGCAACACATTCGCTTCGGCACCGTTTGCCGCTAGCGGCGGCACGTCGACGCACTTCCCGGGGCCGGTAAAGTTCACCGGAAAAAGACATTGGCCGCAACCGGCTTCCGAACAAGGGTCGGGACTGAGGTCCGGTATCGAACACGTGACGAGGTTGCAAAGAGGTTTTTGTCCATTCACGCTCGGCAACACCGCCACTTTATATACGGTGAAATAATTGTGAGATAAAATAATACTTCCTCCGTCAATTTTCTATTGTCCTAAAGTATATTTACACGGTTTTTTAAGTGATTGTCTTTTTGTTATGAGTGGACAAATTTGCCCTTAACGTATGGTAGGGATTAAAAGTAATAAATGAATGAAGGGTAAAAATGTAAAATTTGTGTTTAAAAAAAAGAAATAGGACAATAGTTGTTGGACGTCCCAAATAGGAAAGTAGGACATTAGTTTGTGGACGGAGGGAGTATATTTTTATAAAAAATTATAATGAATGTACGCTAGAAAAATTTGAAATTATACTTTAACAAACGAAAAAAAACCATTTTAGTGCTTAACTACGTGGGGTTGTTAATAGGAAAAATTGCAAAAAATATCTAACACGTATATCTCATTATCACTTTTATATTATATTTATCGCGCTGACAAAATATATCCTATATGTTTTCAAAAGTCGCTATTTTTGGCATTTGACCGTGCGTGTGACGTCACACCATGCGCGGCCAAATGATAGAAATAGCGACTTTTACAAGACAAAAGTGATAATTTAATATATATATATGAGATATTTTTTACAATTTTTTCGGGGTTCATACTTAGTCCAAAAAATTTGAAAAAGTTGCAAATTTAACTGTATATATAGTCAATGATTGCTTTTGTCTTTTATATCCAAAAAATTCAATTTTTCGTCATTCGAACTTTGAATTCACATGCAAAAAAAGACTTTTTTTTTTGTCATTTAAATGATAAACAAGTGATTTTCTATAAGATATATGATTACAATACATTGAATACATTATACAGGACAAAAGAGATAGTTGACCTGATTTTTTGCCATCATTTAAACTTTAAATTCACATACAAAATATTTTCCTTTTTTTGCCATTTGAAGGACAAAACGAGCAATTTTATTTTATTTTATTTTATTCTTGCAAAATATACGACAATCATACATTCTATGAGATATATACGACGACAGTAATAATTAATCGTATACACAAAACTAATTTCCAAAAAATAAAAAATTCAAGAATTTGAAATGTTTGTATAATTGTTAGAAACCATATATATAAAATTTTCACTTATAATTATACTCAAAATTAATCTAAATATCCCCGGAAAAAAAAAAAGAAGAAAAAAAGACGAAAATGGTTTCAAATTCCAAAAAATTCAAGCGACAAAGAGTTATGGAGATTACCCGAAGCGACGAGCAAAATGAGGGAGAAGAAAGCCGCAAACTTCTTAGCCATCTTCGAGAGTGAATTATTTTCTCTTCTTCTTGTGTGGCGAGTTCAATTATTATAGTTGTTTTATAGGTAAGAAATTGCACATGAGACGAACATAGTACTAAAGTATCTTGCATCGATTAAAAAATGGTCCCGACATCTTCTATAATTCGCTGGTCCATCCCACGTTTTTCACCTCACCTTCTTAACATTATTTTGGTATACTTTGTACTTTTCTACTCGTCGTATAAATTGTCATCAATATTTTCTTGATGTATTGTTTTTGTCGTGTTTGATCATTTTCGAGTGCGCGCATTTCATCTTTGTTCAATCAAATCAAACCCAATCCATTGGATGAGCTACTTTTTTGAGATTAGTCGAGGGATAAGTATGTAAATCGACACTATTTTTCGCTCGATAGAGGATTTTTTTTATCGTAGAATTGTATAATTATAGTGCATTATTGCTATTGAAAAATTATTTTGAAAAATAAAAAATAAAAAATCATTGAAGATTTGAATGTCAATGATAATGATAATTAGAGATTTGAAAATTTTGAAGGTTTTTCCTCTTATATTCAATATTCCATATGCTTTTTTTTTTTCTAAATTTATTTTTGCTAGAAAATCTCTAGTGGTGTGTTTGTTTGTAGGTTTGGATTTTTTAATAATAAAAGTTGAATTTGAATAGTTGCTTGATTTAATATACATAGATGTTGATACGATGTTTTGAACGTAAATAAATTTGTAGTATAATATATATATAAGTGCTTGTTCGATTTGATATTTTTTTGAAGAAAAAAAAAGAACGACAACTATCTCACTACTGTATATGGTTTAAGGAAAATACTAATTGAATGTAATATTTTATACGAAAATAAACATATTTTTATTGAAAACTACTAAAGTTAATAATAAAAAATGGAAAATAAATAAATCAGGATGTTCTTATGGTCATCTTTGCAAATATGATAAGAAATAGTGGTAAACACAAATAAAAAGTTATGCATTACTATTTTATCAGAATTCATTTTCATTTTGAATAAATATGCATTCAAGATTATATTTATTTATATCAATATAATTGCATTAATTAATTTTTTTAAAAAAAAATAATGTGTTCTTCCACAAAAAGATAAAAAAAAAAATTAACACGTTTTTTTAATTAATATTATAAAAAATACATATGTCGACATAGAATATAATATATACTATCTACTCACCAAGTCAAAAATTCAAACTAAAATGTTGTCCTTTTATCTAATATAAAACAATCTTTAAATTAAAAAGACAAAATAAATATATTTGTTATCTTTAACTACCATTAAAATACAACATTTTATATCAGCTAAAATTGTATCATTTTTCTTTTTTTGAATTGTTAGCTAAATTTATATATAATTTATCCGTAACAAAACATTTTATTCATCTACAATTTTATATTTTCTACTTTAACAAATAATAATAATAATTTTATTACTATTTTTTCTAATTTTTTTTTTTTTTTTTATCTTCTTAACAAAATTTTCATAATATTTCATTTTCATTTTTATTTATTTTATTTTATTATTAAAATATTACTATTATCCTATAATAAAAATATATGATGTATGCTTTTATTATATATATTGATTGAGTCAAATAAGTGTAATATTTGGCAATTAGACGTTAGTTTTTAGTTGATAGCTAATTCGATTACTTGTTAGTTGTTAGCTGATTTGATTAGTTGGTTTGACTAGTTGAACGTATTAGTTGTTTGTTTTAAAGTGTTTGGTAAAATAGTCGTTTGATATTAACTATTTATACATAAAATAACAATTAATGACATTTTATATACTTTTAAAAATATTTAATTGCATCGTTTCGGTGGATATGACGTTTTAGAATTTTGATTATTAGTTATTGAAAATTATAAAAATTATATTAGAATAATTGATTTTTTTTTTAAAAAAAATATTTTTTTAAAAAATTAATATATTTTTAATAAAAAATATGAGTTTATTTTCACTAAAATAGTGTAAAATATAAGAGAATAAATTATTTGTATATGTATTTTTAACTAATTTTACTTTTATTAAATTTATAATTTTAAATAAATTTATTTTAATATATTTATCTTTCATAAAAAATTATATCATAAGATATATATAAAATAAATTAATAATATTTTTATTTTTATTTTATCTTTATTTTAACAAACTTAAAAATAAAATGATTTCAATATAAAAAATAATAATTACAATTACTTTAAACTAATACTCCATTCGCACCAAAATAAATATCCATTTATTTTTTGCACATAATTTTAGAAATATTAGTATTATATTGAGATATAATATGAATAAAGTATAAAATAACCTTATTAGTATGTGTGATATAAATGTAAGGATATTTGTCTAATATATTGTAAGTTGTAAGGGTATCTGTAATGTTAGGTAGATAGTACGATTACTAAAAACGGAAATGAATACTTTGTTAGGAGACGGACTAAAATAGAAAAATGGATACTTTGTTAGAGGACGGATTGAGTAAAATTAAATTTATAAGTCTTTTGAGTAAATATAATAAATAATTAATAGATATTTTAATAAAAAATATATTAATAGATGTGAAATAAATATTTAATTATTAATGGCAAAAGGAGAATAATAAAAATAAGAGTGGAAAAACTATTATGAAATGCTTTTAAAATTACTGTTTTAGGTCTAATAAGTTATTTCGGAAAGTTAATTTATTAAACATTTGAATTATTTTTTTTTATTAGTCAAACAATAAAGTAATTCAAGAAACTAAAAGCGAGATAATTGTAAAAAATATTTTACACTTATACTCTATTATCACTTTTATCCTGTATTTATCTCGCTGACAAAATATATCTCACATGTTTACAAAAGTCGCCTATTTATATCATTTGCCCGCGCGTGACATTCACACCACGGGCCCGTATATGCGATCACGCACGGCCAAATGATAAAAATAATGACTTTTGTAAATATATGAGATATATTTTACCATCGAGATAAATACAAGACAAAAGTGATAATGAAGTATACATATAAGATATATTTTGCAATTTTTCCAACAACTGTTTAAAAAATTATTTTTCAAACACCCTCGTTATATATATAATATAATATAAATATATATAAACTAAAATTATAACACTACCCCTACTAAATTTACACAATTGGACAAATATATGATGTGCATTCAACAAATGCTTACAAAACCCGTATTTCAGGCACGTGATTAATTTCATTATTTAATAATTAAATTATTCCCCTTGATGTATATAGCTCCGACCATGGCCGGGTAAAACCTATGTAGATTTTATACTCCATTCGTCCGAATAAAATAGTCTTGTTGTCCGTTTTAAAACAATAGTCTTATTTTCATAAATGACCATATCACCGTAAAATTTTATCTACTTTTTCATTTTTATTACACAATTGTAACTACTTTTTACACTAATACATTCATAAGGACAAAAAAATTCTTTTGTCCATATTTTTTACCAACTACCAATATAATATCAATATTTTTTAAATATCGTGCCCAATTAAAACTATATTTATGGGACGAAGGGAGTATAATTTAATTATTAAAATTATATTTTCCATTTAGCTATTTTTGATCAAAGTCAAATATATCTGTTTTGTTAGTAAAAGTACATTCTAACTAAATACCAAAATATTTTTTTGTCATTATTAATTTCAATAAAATTCAGCATAAATATACTCAATATAGATATAAAAATTACATAATAAATCAACAAACTAAGTGTTAGAACAAACTTTTGGAACGACATATGGGCTTGGAGCAACCCAAGCCCATTTTTTTTAAATATAAAATACATTTTTTAAAAAAATTTAATTATGTAATTCATTTTATTATTTTGATTTACAATACTATATAATAATTTTAATATAAATATTTATATTAAAATATAATATTTTATTCTAAATATTACTGTAACTATATTTTTTTTTTCTCTTTTTTTCTTTTTAATCAAAGTGAATCCACAAGTCGATTTTTACAATTTTTTCACGTACAAAAAGGTTAAACTATCTGATTAAATTAAAAATTAATAATTTAAAATATGTTGAAATTGAAATAGGATAATAAAAATATATATATATTTGAGTCATAGCAAAAAATATTCCAAAGATTATAATTCAAAATTTGTTGATTGTTCTCATAATGGATAATAGGGGTAAAGAAGGTAGACTCGTCATCGTAAAACCATGGTTCAAACCGCGATGCCTCCAGATTTTACTTGTCATACATAATTCGTTAAGTGTGATTTATTTTATCGGATCTAGTTGACATAATATTAAATCGCTCAAAAATTTACCAAAACACTCGAAAAATAGGCTGCGAGTTTCGACATTATAAATATATATATATATATATATTGATTGTTGCTCTGTTGCCAAAGAAAAGGGCTTGTAACATACCTTACATAATCATTATTATTATTCCAATAAAAGCTATAGAAATGATCAAAATAGTATTTGTAACTCAGGACCACTCAGCCCCCATGTTAATAGGGTGGGCTCGGATTCAAGTGGGCACGTCAACTCAACACTAATATAATATTGTCCGTTTTAGGCTGAGTCTGCACGATTTATTTTTGGATTTTTTTCAAAAAGTCTCGTACTAATAGAGTTTATACGAGACTTATAGGTGTTAATTTTATTCAAATATTTCAATATGGAACTTAACTTTGCATTCCAATAATCCTCCCCTCAAACCCAAGGACCAACAAATAGACCTACTTATCACTAGTATGATATTGTTCAATTTGGACTGAATCCGCACAAATTTGTTATTTGATTTTCTCCGAAAGGCCTCGTAAAACTTATAAGGTGTTAGATTTTATTCAAAATTTTCAATATGAGACTTGAGTCTGCACCTCAACAAATCCATAGCATATTATGGATTTGATAAAAAAAACTCGTCTCAAACTCGGCTCCGTCCCGAACTTGCTTAAATTTATTTATTATAAAATTTAATACTATTATATATAATCATTTATATTAATTAAATTTATAGTTTTATCATCTTTATTAGAATTTTTAAAATTTAAAATACTTAATATTTAAATAAATAATTCTTTTAGTATTATATTTTACTTCATTTGTCTCGGACCTATGATTTTAATTGTATTAGTCACAAATAATTTTATAATTATTTATGAAAATTATATTATTATTTTGAGATTAACAAAAATAATAAACAAATATATAAGGACAAATTTAGTAGTAAAAAAACATAATAATTTAATAGCAAAACCGTATTGATAAATATCTTTATAACAAATTTGACTTTTGTAACAAAATATTTTTATTTTTTATTTTTATGAAAATATGTAAATAAGATATAACAATAAAAATAGTACAGTTTTTTATTTAAAGTTTTTTTTCTATAAAGATAAAATTTTATAAAAAAAAAGAACTTTATTAATAAAAATGTATGATTTTTATAGTCAAATTATTTTAACTATAAAAATATAATTTTGTAATTAAAATTTTTGAAAAAACAAATTTGTAGCAAAAAATTTATAGACAAAATTAATTTTTGCAATATATAATTATTTTTAACGACAATTAATTTTTGTAAATAAATGACAAATTTTAACTGAAAATATTTAGTAATTAAAAGAATTTAATTAAATTAATTTATATTTTTAAATATTTATTGATAAAAAATTTATAAATCTCATCCAAACATACCACCGCTGCTGTGCGCCACCACTCTAGGCGGCGTCCGCCTTCAATAACGTCGTTTCGCCGGAAAACGCCTCTCCACCGGCTTCCGCCGCTGTCTGATGACTTCCGTGCGAAATCATCACTTGTAAATGAAGAAGGGTGAAGATATGGCTAAAAGTGTATATAAACTCCTGACAATCGACCGGTGGGAGTCGTTGAATGGGATGAGATACAAAACGGCGCCGTTGAGAGCAGTTCATGGAAGGATGGCTATGAACTTCCTGAAGTGGATTGTGAAGCAGCCAGGTTTGGAATTCAATCATCTCACTCACTTGTACTGTATCACAGCTCACATTCTGGTTAGGGCAAGAATGTACGATTCCGCCAAATTGATATTGCGGCGTTTGCTGGAGATGCCTTTAGGGTCGAAAGCTGTTTTCTGTGCATTTATGAATACATATCGATTGTGCAATTCAAGCCCTGCTGTTTTTGATGTGTTGATGAGAGTTCATGTAAGGAAGGGAGCAATTGATGATGCTGTAGAGACTTTTCGTTTGATGTGTTTTAGGGGATTTAAGCCTTCTGTGTACACTTGTAATATGATTCTTGCTGCAATGGCGAAAAATTGGCACTCTGAGGATGTTTGGTTGTTTTTTGAAGAAATGCTTGGTGAAGAAATTTGTCCAAATGTTGGGACATTTAACATATTGTTGAATGTACTTTGCGCCGAAGGGAATGTGAAGAAAGCTAATTATTTGTTGATGAAAATGGAGGAGAGTGGCTGTGCGCCGACTGTAGTTAGTTATAACACAGTGCTTAATTGGTGTTGCAAAAGGGGAAGGTATAAAGAAGCCTTGCCATTGTTGGATCGAATGAGTTGCAGAGGTATTGAAGCCGATGTTTTTACATACAATGTGCTTGTGAATGATTTGTGTAAAAATGGAGAAAGTGCGAAAGGTTATTTGCTCTTGAAGAAGATGCGAAAGAGAATAGTTGTTCCAAATGAAGTGACTTATAATACACTCATAAATGGATTCGTCAAAGAGGGGAAGCTTTCGGTAGCTGAAAAACTTTGTGAAGAGATGTGTAAGGTCAATATTTCGCCGAATTGTATCACTTATAATGCATTGATTTATGGGAATTGCCAGGCTGGGAATTTTGTCGAGGCTTTTGAACTTCTGCGTGAAATGGAAGGAAATGGGTTGAGACCGAGTGAGATTACTTATGGAACTCTTTTGAATGGACTTTGTAAATATGGAAAGCTTGATTCTGCAAAACAGCTACTTGAGAGGATAGAGCTGGATGGTATGAATTTGAATCGTACAATGTATACAGTTGTAATGGATGGGTCGTGCAAAAGTGGAGAAATGACAGAAACAATGAAATTGCATGATAAGATGCTCGAGGACCATGTAAACGCCGATATTGTTACATATTCAGTTCTTGTGAACGGATTCAGCAGAGTTGGAAAAATGAAAAAGGCGAAGGAGCTGTTATGTAAGATGTATAGATTAGGAAGCGGACCTAACAGAATTGTATACTCTACATTGATTTACAATTTGTGCAAGATCGGGGATGTCAATGAAGCGATCAAGGTTTATAATGCAATGCTTCGGAGTGGTCATTCTGTAGATCTCTTTGTTTGTAATTTATTGGTTTCTACGCTTTGCAGAAGTGGAAATGTGGCAGAGGCAGAGTTTCTCATGCATTATCTCCGTAGTATTGGTGTTCCTCCAAATTCCGTTACTTTCAACTCTATTATTGGCACATATGGAAGTGCTGGCGATAGATTAAGAGCTTTCGAGCTATTTGATGAAATGGTTGGATTTGGTTTACAGCCTAATGCCTATACATATGGATTTCTATTGAAAGGACCGTGCAACAGCAGGAATTTTGAGGAGGCTATGTGTTTCTTTGAAAATCTTCGTGGCATTCCTTGTGCTATGGATAGCATTGTCTATAACACAATGCTGGCCGAGATATGTAGTCGTGGAAATTTCAAATTAGCTCTCGTCCTTATATCTGAGATGATAAGATCTGGTGTCTTCCCTGATAGTCATACATACTGTTGTCTCATCTCTCATTTATGTCGAACTGGACGGGTTGTTACTGCAGTGCTTTTATTGGAACGGGTACTGCAAAAAGGAATCATTTCGTCAAACCGGTTTATTTATGCCACTATCATCAATGGTTTTGTTAGGATTGGTCAAACACAAGCTGGAATTTACCTGTTCGATGATATGGTAAGAAGCTGTGTAGATCCTGATATAGTTGTTTTTAACACTGTTCTTGATGCATGCTCAAGAGCCGGACTGACGGATAAGTTGAATGATATTCTTTCAATGATGGCTCGTAAAAGTATATCCCCTAATTTGGTTACATATAATATACTCTTACATGGTGAGTCAAGGAGGAAGAACATTTATAGGTGTTTTGAATTATATAGAACCATCTTGAGAAAAGGATTTGTTCCCGATAAACTTATTTGCCATTCTCTAATTCTTGGTCTTTGTAAGTCTGGCATGTTGGATGTTGCTGCTAAGTTTTTGAAAGTGAAGGTTATGGAGGGGATTCCTGCAGATTTGTCGACATTTGATATACTTATCGCAATGTACTGTGAGAAAGGTAGCATGTTAAGAGCCTTTGATCTTCTGAACATCATGGATTCGATAGGAATTTCACCGGGCGAAGACACTTTACATTATGTTTTTAATGGGCTCAAAAGAATCTCGTTGTTTCAAGAGTCTCAATTTTTCCTCCGTAAGATGCTGCAAAATGGTTTTGTTCCAACTGCCCGGCAATACAGCAGTTTGGTAGTGAGTATGTGCAAGTCTGGAGATGTAAAGGGAGCATTTAAATTGAAAGATGAGATGAAGGCATTCGGTATTAGCTCCGACGCTGAGGCTGAGAGCGCTCTGGTTAGGGGGCTTGTGCAACAAAGGAAGATAGAGGATGCAGTGCTTGTTCTTAATTTTATGCTGAGGAACCGCCTTGTCCCGACTGTTCCAACTTTCACTACTGTAATTCATGTTCTTTGCAGTGAATCTAAACTGACTGAGGCACTGGATATGAAACTTTTGATGGAACGTAATGGAGCTAGGCCGGATGTCATTTGCTATAATGTTCTTATATCTGCCCTGTGTCGAACTGGTGATACTGACCACGCCTTCACACTTTATGAAGAGATGAAACAGAGGGGTGTTTGTCCCAACATCACTACATTGTCTGTTCTCATCGATGCCATCTGTGTTGAAAATGATTCGGCAAAGGGTGAAAGGATATTGAATTACTTGGAGGAGAGAGGATTAGTTGATCGAGATACAGCTTCCCTAGATTGGCATAGAAGATTGACTGATGCCATGGGGTATATTGACCTAATAAGACGTAAAAAGAAAGGCCGCAAGAAAGAAGCTAAACATGCTAGTTGAGATTGCTCGATATGTAATGTCTTGCCGCTCATCAAATTATGGGGATTGACGGGTTTGGCTACTTAACTACTGGCATTGGAAACGAAGCTGTGTTGTCGATAAAGCTTAACGTTCATACAGGTTAGAGTAAAACACTTTGCTTTTCTTATGTGAGTCTTAATGTCAGAATCCTAGTATCTTTGTTCATATAATATTGATGATCATTATTTGAGTTCCCTACGGGTTTTGTTTATGGTGAGATTATTCGTGATATTCATGTTTGAATTTGACCCTATTTTAGACTGTGCAACTGTTTAGGACAATACAATCGAGGTGTGCCTGCTCTATATGCAATCCATAGATGTTCCTAGTACATGTTGAGTGACTCTTTTCCAAATAAAACAGTTGTTCGATATATATCACTTTGTTCAAACTGCTGGTCCTCGGCATCAAACGTGCCTAATATACTGATTTAGGTGTGCCTGTTATTGACTAAGCCAAGTATGGCCACCAACATGTGAAAATTTTATAAAACAAGAGTTAAGAGATTTTTGTATAATAATTTTGAACATATGGTATCATTCTTGAGTCTTGAGAGTGTTTAATTAAGTTTTACCGACAGATCTGTTGGCTTGGTTATGCAGTATGCGGCATGCCCATGAGTTTTGTTCTGGCAAAGGTGTGCTTTAATGAATGGAGTTACGTAGATATGATGAAAGAATGATATCCGTATCTTGACGTAGAACACACCAAAAATGCGAAAAGTGGCTGCGAATTCATCCTCTAGACAGCTGACTGTAAGCAACTTACGATTATATTTCTTCCTGAAATGAAGCTAAATCGCCTTGTATCTGTAACATCCATTGATTTCAGCACTTTCATTTGCAGGAAGAAAGCAAGAAGGGTGCTATATTGAAAGCTTGAAATTCATACATGATCTCAAGTTTCAGCATGAACGTTCAGTCTCTGTGAAATTGGTAATGACAATTAAAACATAAGTTCCGTAATTTTCCCTTTCTGCGTGCTGCCAAGTTGTTCTGTATTTGTTATTTATTCTTGGGTAAAGTTTTTTATAATTCCCCTATGGTTTCGAAATTCAGTATAAAATTTTCCTATATTATAAAAATTGCATGGCACCTCTTATACTTTAGAAAATATTGTATGAAGTCCCATTCCCATGAAACTTCCCTTGTGTGATGAGAATGATTTCTATCTATATTTTTTTGCATGGTGGAGGTTTCATGCAACATTTTTTAAAGTATAATGGGGCACCATGCAATTTTTAAAGTGAAGTGGAAATTTATATGAGTTTCAAAACTACAGAGGGGTTTCATGCAACATTTTTGAAAATATAAGAGGATGCCACGCAATTTTTATAGTAAAAGTGAAATTTACATTGAGTTTCAAAATCACAAGAGAATTATGGGCAATTTTACTTATATTTTAGTTCTAAAACTGTTTGGTTTTGAGCTCCAATGGGAACCATGGCCTAGCCTAGATATGCATATGCACAAAAATTGAAATAAGGAATGCTTTAAATATAAACCATATCCGAGTCTAAACATCTTTGAACTTCTAACTTAATTCTTGTGTATTTGAAAAATAAAAAAATTTCACTCCACTAAATCTCTTCATTCTCTGTCAAGAGTCATCGTAGGTGCTCATTTCCTGAATTTTTGTAGATAGGTTATCAGTGAATCTTCGTCAACGGATTGTTTGTTGCTTGAATTTGGGTGAAACCCCCACCCCAATACCCCAAAATTGGGTATTTGGAGATATGTTCTTGTTGGGTTATTCTCTCTCAGCCATACCCGGTAAATATGTTTATTGCATCAATGCATGCTCTTGTTTTGTTTAAAGCTTTCGGGTTTTCGGGAATTAACTCCCAGCTAGTTCGTACCCGACCTCTTCATCTGAATTGAATAGTTAATTAGTTATTCCCATGTTCATACTTCATGTTGTTTATCAAACTGTACCAACAAAAACTATTTGATCGACTTAACATGGTAGTTTTTTGCTATCCTGCATTTCCTTGCTGTTGGATTAATCACTCCAACTGTGGCTCCGGATTTAAAATATCACTATGTTCAGTTTCATGTTATGTATACTTTAGATATCTACATATAGACTTCGGATTTTTTATTTCTTGGTTCAATTGGTATTTAGACTCTTACTGCCGGATTTTTATTATTTACTTGTTCTTTTCTTGTACTGACAATGTTTAGCAAGTCAGGCATGCTCATGGTTTACTTTGATTCGTCTTACTGCCGGATTTTTATTATATACTTGTTCTTTTCTTGTACTGACAATGTTTAGCAAGTCGGCATGCTCATGGTTTACTTTGATTCGTCAATGGCGACATGCGCTTGTTACTTGATATTGTAAAATTTTTTTACCTGCAATCCGCTGCATATGTGACTGAAAACAGATTATTTTGGAGCAAAATGTACCTACTGACCTCAAGGACTGATCATTATACAATTTGCCTGTTTCGGTAGTATTTTGAGCCGTGAACAGATGGTAATTTCTTCTTATTGCAGTTGTTCCTTTCGCTATCTGTATCTAATTTTTTAGTGATATGTCTATTGAAGCTAAAAGTTTCGAAATGAAATATGAGGTAAATTGAAATCCAAATGAATGATGAGTATGAATAGGACTATAACAGTATGTGTTTAACCTTTTATGTTTAAGTTAGCTAAAGACAGCATTTACCGTAAAAAGAACAATTAGATTTTTCTTGTTTCCGGCTATCAAATTCTGCACGGTGTTCTTTCTCCAACTCTTGTTATGTTCCGGAGATTGGAGAATCACTTTGGCATGGATTTTCTACCTAAATTTGGATCTTAGATTATCGCTATCTAGATTTTATTTCTTTCAAAATTAGCGAGATGGATCATAAACACATGTGAAATTCCATCTATTTGATTCATCCTAAGCTATTGGAGTCGCAAAACATAGTCATGGAACAACTTGGCCTAGTCAATTTATTTTCTAATGGGAATGGTCATACACCGGCATTTCAACCGTTGTCTTAGCTTTTGATTTTAGATAATGTATCTGTAGTTTTCGATAAAATGAAAGATCTGGTTAGCTGTGGGAAATTGTAAACCTCAATTCGCCTCTTTTTTTTTTTTTTTTGCATTTCTTTTCCGGGCTTATGTAAAGCGAAGCTATACTGATGCATAATTCCTTGTTCTTATGCAGCATTGGACAAAAAACTCGAGCAAGATGAGCCATAGAGGAGAAAGTCTCGAGTCTTGACAAGTAGTGACCGGTTTTCAAATATTGACAAAAACGAGCATTTTCTTTGTGACAAGTATGTTCTTTCACTCATCGGGATGTCGTAGGGGGGACACATTTCCAGGTTTTGCCATGGTTGTATCTGGGGGATGTCGTAGGGGGGACACATTTCCAGGTTTTGCCATGGTTGTATCTGGAGCTTAGCTAAAGTTCTACTAAAATACCGCAAGTGTGATCGAAATTGCAATATGTATGGAATTGTAGAGAAAAAGAATGTTGAACTACAACGTAAATTTATTTAATTGTCTAAGAAACGGGAGGTTAACGTGTTAATTAGAGTTAATCAGCACGTGAACAATTACTTCTCTATATATGTGTTGGAGTTAAATCAACGTGTGTTGTGTGGATTATTACGGCATGTTTTCCGTTCATATCATGCATCTGTGCTATATTTATGTATACTTATTATTTTGAAGTATTATCGTATATTGTTAGTTCATACTAAATACTCCCTCCGTTCCGGTTCAAAGGGCCCTCGGGTTTTATAGTAGATTAAAAATATAATAATATTTTATTAGGTAGTGTGTAAGAGGTTTTTTTGACTTTATATGTAAAAAGTAATTGTATGTGTAATTGGTATGTTCGTAATTTAGGTAAAAGTAAATGATATTTTGATATTGGTATATGATTATTTTTACTAAAAATATAAAATTGATACTTTGAAGTTGGACGGACGAAAATGGTAAAAATAGTGCTTTGAGTTAGAATAGAGAGAGTATTTGTTTTAAGTTAACAATTTTTTATCGAATTTTACCCAACTTTTAATATTCATTACAATTTTTCTTTTATAAAATCAAACATTTATTTTTTTTTTATATATTGTACTTTCTTCATCCGGCTACAAAATAAATATTTACTTTTAATACGTAGTTTAAGAAATAATAGTTTTTTTTTTTCTTTTGGAATAGTCATTTTGCAATTGAACGTCCCAAAATAGATACAGTTATACTTTTTGGGTGGAAGGAGAGAGTATTAAAAATTAATTTTACATTCAAAATATTAAGTAAATACATATTTATATCATATTATACAACTATTTAAATTCAAAATTTTTACTACCAAAATTCAAACCCCCAAACAAATACACCCTGTGTGACCTATTATAATATGTTGTCCGCTGATTATGACTAATCCATACATCGATCAACATCGAAACCATGCCCTAAAAACTATTTAAATAGAACTATTTTGAATCAAACAATGGCATATGTATTTGTTTAGACCATAAAAATCATCCAAACTTAAAAGACAAAAAAGCAACTCTTCGTTGAAGCTGTTAAACAAATCAAGCCGTTCGTGAATTCGGCTCGATTAAAGCTCGTTCGCGAATGTTAACGAGCCGAGCCGAACAATATAAACAGGCTCGTTTGGTTAATGAACGAGTCCGAGCTTTGTTCGCGAACGTTCGTTTAAATAATATATTTATTATAAATATTATATATACATATAAAATTATAATTTATAAATAAATAAAATATTAATTTAAAATATATAAATAAAATAATTTTAAATTTTCTTTATAATATATATATAAATTTTAAAAAATAAGACAAACGAACTCGAACGAGCTTAATCGAGCCTAAACGAGCCAAACACGAACACAAGCTCAAACAACAAAAATTCTTAACGAGCCGAGCTCGAACACTACGAACGAACTCGAAAGCTTAATGAACGAACACGAGCCTTTTTCGCAAACGTTAACGAACACTTAAAATTTGGCTCGGCTCGGATCGTTAACAGCTCTACTCTTCGTCGATGCAAAATTCCTAAACACGAATAAAAACTAAATCAAATTTCCGAAAATTCTTCGATTGTTTGAAAATGGGATCATCAAATCACCAAACCACATCCAAACAAAATCTCACAAAAAACAAAAAGTTCTTTACACAATTAAACACCCCAAAAACCAAGATACACATATACAAATACATGCATATATATATATATATATTTCGAAACTACAGAACGTATGATCATTCTACAGATTAATCAACACAAATATACATACATACATACATACATACATACATATATATATATAAATCAATCATTGCATCACCAAGACATAGATTGCATAGACTATCCCAGGTAGGTACCCCAAGAATGTCAGGGCAAGACAGATCCAAAATTCAACCTGCATACAATAAAATTTTAAATATAAGAAATGATTCAATCACATCAAATATAATCTCATATTTTTTTCTCAATATATATATATATATATAATAATTATTACAATAACATACACCACATCCAAACTTGAAGAAGACGCCAAGGGGAGGCAAGATTATCGCCAGAATCACTTGTATGAACGTGTCTGAACCCATTTTTAATTATTTTCTTATTTTTCTAAGAGAAGATTTGCATGTAGAGAGAGAGAGAGAATGAAGAGAGGAGAGAGAATGAAAGAAATAATAAAGAGTGGAAATAGGAAGATGCATGGCTGCATGCATACGTTAATTCTAACTTTTATATATATATATATATACATACACAGGGCCGGTCCTCACTTTCGAAGTGTTCGGAGCAAAAAAAATATATATGGGCTCCGAAATATATTTTTATTTATAATAAATAATTAAATAAAATAATTTTCTAATATTTTAAAATGAAAAATAGTATATAAACAAAATATATGAAACATATAGAATTTGAACTTAAACCTAAATATTAAAAATTGATCTCTATATCATCAAACTATAATCTTTACATTTACATATATCAAATAATATATATATATATAAATTATACATATATAACATAAATATATAATAGAGCCCCCTGTTTACCATGGACCTTGGACGGACGCTCCTCTCGCCCGGACCCATGACCAGTCCTATATATATATATATACACAAATATATTGTTTTAATATTCAATTACAATTCCAACTATATAGACCCAAATAATTACAAATATTGAAATTATAGCTATATTTTTATTTAGTATGTCGATTGGACCATCTAGGCCCGCTTTAGCGTGGACTCAAATAAAAATTAACTATTGTATCCAATCGGGGAAAAAAATATTTGGAAGCCCAAATCCAGAATTGTACCTGGGAGAATTGGATGGGCCAATTAACTTTTACAAAATTAAAATATATAAATATGAATATTTCTTTCGTCTATCAAATTTGTGTGTGTCTCTAATTGTGTCTGTGTATAAAATAAAAAATAAAAAATTGAAAATTGTACTCTTTATTTATAAAAAATATATACTAAATTTATAAGCTTTAATATTACAATTAATTATTTATAAATATATCATAACTATTTTTACATTCGTATCAAGTAATATGATATTATATTCATTAAAATTCATATTTTGACCTAAAATTGGAGCAAGCCCTAGGTTATTATCTTAGGCTTGGTCTTGAACCAAGCTAAAATTACTATGATAGGTCTAACCATTGGACAATTTGAATGGCAACTTGAAAATTGGGATTAAGAACAAATTGAGATAAAATTTTTATTAAAAATGAGCTAATAATAAAAAAAAATAAAAATAAAGAGAAAATATAATAAAATTCATAAATAAATACTTCCTCCGTCCCTTAACAATCTATTTATTTTTTCATTTTGGTTTGTCCCATAACAAAGTATTCAATTCTTTTTTCTTTTCTTTTTAGTAATTGTACTATCTACTTAACATTATAAATACCTTTCCAATTTATAATATATTACACAATTGTCATTACTTACTTTTATATCATACAATACTAATAGGGTTAATTTAGTATTTTAACTTTTATTTCTACTTTATCTCAATATAATACTAATATTTTTAAAACTCTGTGCAAAAAGCAAATAAATATATAGATATGGTACGAATGAAATATTAATTAAGAAGTGAGTTAAATATTATTTTTTCCAAATACTGAAATAAATTAAATATAACAAATAGACCGAAAATAATAATAATAAATTTGATGTACGACAACAAATAATATTTTATTGATGTATGTATATAATTGTTAACAAATTTATGATTTGCAAGTACAAATCCCACTTAGATAGAGGATCTGTTTGCTTGGCTTTTAACAAAAAAAAAAACAAAAGCAACTTTTGAGCTAAATACAATTTTGAGGGGCACTTTTAAAATCAAAGCTACCATTTTAATAATAATTATTGTAACATCTAAAAAATTGTCCAAAAAAAATCATATCCAATACTCCATCCGTCCAAAATATAGTCTTATTATCTTGAACACAAGATTTAAAAAATATTAATATTATATTGATAGTTAATAAAAAAGTAAAGATAAATAACTTTTTCGCTCTTACGAGTATATTAGTATAAAAAGTCTTCACAATTGTGTAATAATAATAAAAAAGTAAGAATAATTTTATAGTGATATAGTTATTTATGAAAATGAGACTATTGTTTTGGGACAGACAAAAATAATAAACAAGACTATTGTATTGGGGCAGAGGAAGTATAATTTTAAATATCACAAATTCACTTCACACCACTAGATGACCCACGACATAAATCCGACAAAAATGACATTGTATAAATTGAAGTGAGAATGGAGAATATATACATAATACCCCCTCTGTCCTCAAATTTATTTTCATTTTTCTTTTTACTCCATCGGCTTATTTTAGAACAATTCAATATTTGATTATTACATTACCATCGATTTAACACTTATTTAAAACAAATATCATTAATTTTATTTAATTCTCTATTTCATTTACTTTAATTTATAACGAAATTTCTATAAATATTCCCGATTAACCATTAACTTTTTATCACTTTTTTCAATAAAATATTTGTTTTACTTAATCTCCGTATCGGTCCAAAATGTGCTAAATTTAAAGTATTTATATCTAAAATATCACAATAACAATTTGACAATAATTCGAAACACAACATCTAATACCCATCTTATTTAACACAATGCATCCACATCAATATCACATCCAAAAACACCAAAACTATTTCGAGTAACGGTTGCGGGTTCCACGTCATCATATAAAAAATAAAAAATAAAAAATAAAAAAAAAACACCAAAACCACACATAACAATTTACTTTTCTTTTCCTTCTCAATTGAAAACATATGCTACACACATTCATGTGATTGATTATTCAGACCGCATTATTTATATTAATATAATACAAATACAATATATATTCTCTCTGTCTCGTAACAAATGATATCATTTTCATTTTAATCTGTTCCATAACAAATAATATAGGTAAATTTTACTAATCTAATATACTCTTAACAAATATAAATCAACTATTAACTTTATAATATATAAGATCATACTCAAAACCTCTTTATTTTTATCTCTCTCATCAATAAACAAATATTTTTATATATATTTAAAACTCCATATCTGTTATAAAATTAATTTATATTAATTATAAATAAATAAATACTATATTATATCATATTGCATGTATTTTAATAAGATATAATTTTAAAAATATTTAAATACATATTTTTATTAACTAAGTAAACATCATCATCTTAAAAACCGTATCCCTACCCAAATGTATCATTTCTAATGGGACAGAGGGAGTAGAACACTGCTAAAATGACGGCAAAAGTAAATGTGACTTTAACGGCAAAAGTACAATGACGGCAAAAGTAAATATGACTTTAACGCCAAAAGTACAATGACGGCAAAAGTAAATGTGACTTTAAGGGCAGACGGAGGAAGTACATAATAATATTTCACACATGTAACTACCAATTTCAAGATATATCACATGTTAACACACCAGACAATCGGACACATGCTAACGATATACAAAACATACGATTAAAAATAGAAAATACGAAAAGAACAAAATGAACTAATAAAACTCCTTCAATTCTTGAACTTAAACCTCAAACACCGTCTATTTTTCCCTCGCCATAATCAGCATCAGCTATGACAAACTAACTCAAATTCACGCCGATGATCATCAATACAACAAACAGCCTAAGGCCGAGAGACTAAAACCCGAAGAATTTTTACGGTATGTGCAAGAATTAGAAACACAACAAGAAACATCACTGGCGAAAACATAAAGAGGCGAATGATGGAACATCATACACATTCCCTTCTAGAGTTTCTTCCACAGACTACAACAAGGTTCGTAGCATCGCGCTTTAATTACCACAGGTAAATTAACAAGTTGACCACCAGGAAAATGAAAAACATGTTTGGCTTAACTCATTCAAGCAGGCGACTCGGAATGCCATTTTGAAACTGCTTCATCAATTCCATTTTGTAATATCTTCCGACTTCACCATGGAGCCACGATAGTTTAGAAGAACACCTTTCGAAACAAATAAAGCCATTATTTTTCATCAATTTACAACAAACTGCCAAAAAATAGTCAAGAAAAGATGTCTGAAGATAATCTGATTCCTAAAATGTAATCTTGATTCAGAGCATTTGCTATTTAACAGTTCTTGATTGCTAGACTGTTTAATACAAATAAATATCGAGTCAATGTAGGGTAGAAGCTAAAAGTTAGACGAATAAAGTGGCCAAAACGAACAACTTAACAAACAGTAAACCAAGATTACGACCAAATGATATTAAGCATCGATCATAGTCTCAAATCTCATCTCTGCCGTTACCGCAGGCGTCCTACCAAACAATTATCAAAGCCAATGATAAGAGATACCTCCGAACTAAGGGTGTGTTCATTTGAACAGTTTCTCCAAATTTCTACTATTCATTAAAAAAAAATTTCAAAAAACATCAAATTAAATACTTATTTTTCATTTCTTATATTATGCTAAAAATCAATTTTACATTTAAAACAACACATCAACATCTATTTATATTACATCATACAACTATTCTAATTCAAAATTTTACTATTCAAATTCCAACTCAAAATCCAAAACCCCAAACAAACACACCCTAAATGGACTCCAAATTCTACCCACCAAAAGTAAGCTTTTTTATTCTTTTCTACTAATAATAAGTTTTACTCTATACCATAGTAGTCAGTTTCGGATTGATACATAGCGGTCAACCTATAAAATGCTATAGATTAGCGGGTTACTGGAAAGTAGGATAACCGCTATTAAAATTTTAAGAGTGCACATATAAAAATTATTATATTTACAACTTTACCATAAAAATGCATAAGAAAAATCTATAGTTTAATTTCATAATTATCATTCAAACCAATAATATTACAAAAATAATATATAATCATAGTTCGTAAGTAACTATATACGCAAAATAATTAGATCACAACTCCTTTGATAGATAGATAATCAAAGTAGATTAAGTTTATTTATTTTTTTCTTCATTTTAATCATCCTCACTACTCAGTCCCATAAAAAAGTATCCGCCTTTCCATTTTGATTTGTCCCAAGACAATATCCGTTTCCATTTTCAATAATTGTAGTATGTACTACCTATCTAACATTAAAAATAATATTACAAACTTACAATATTTAACACAAATGTCATTAGTTTTATTTAATCAATATCATACGACTAATTCACTAACAGGAATATGAATGTCACTTTATTTTCATTTGTACTACATACATATATAATACTAAAATTAAAAAATTCACATGCAAAAAGCAAACAGATACTTCCCTTCGAGATGGAGGAAGTAGTATAAATCTATATTTACCAAATCATGAATATAATATCATATTATAAAATTTAATTATATAAACCTACTTACAATAAAAATTATAATAAATTATTTAATTAAAAAGATGCTCCGCACAGCTAAAAGCCACTTCGCGAAGTGGTGTAGCGGCAACCTGTCAGCTCCGCTACACCGCTATTAGCGCGGTATTGACAACTATGCTATATACAATATACTATGTGAATTTTTAACCCTATTATGAACATATAAAAATAATCATCAGAGTTACGAAACGTAAAAAGTGAAATACGGGTAGTGCATCAAGTAGAACATCAGTAGTAACAAGTAGATAAATTACCAGTACTTTGGAGCTATATCAATAGCGTCACATCTTCCTCCATCTGGGGTAATGTAACAGGTGAAATCTTTACCGAAATCAGAGGTGAGTAGCCGATCTGGTAATTAACAAGAACTGGTCCGAATATGTTGAACTTCTCAGAACTGTTGCGAGCAACTTCAGCATCAGACCCGCGCTTAAAGATCACTCTGGCACGGCCAGAGTCATGATCAACTTCGGTCTCGGATTCCATCAGTGGCCCGAATCGCCTAAACATTTTATTAAGTTTGATTTCAGTCGGCAAACAGTTCCTCTCTGCAAAGTTTAATATAAGCTCGGCAGGCGACGACTCCTGCTTCTTCCGTTTAGCACTCTCTTCGATTTCAGACTCTCCTGTCGGGAAGCTCATGGTAGAATATCTCTTCCGAGATTTACGCCCTGGTTTAACCATTCTTTCTTCTCCGAATGATAATACTTGATGTGTTCCTTCTCGATTCTCGGAGCTGTTGTTAACAACCTGCTCCTCAGGATAGTTGTGGACGATCCGATCTGTCCAGTACGAGTCATTCACATCATCGAATTCGAATTCTTCGCCGGATCCACCGACTGTCGAATCTGCCTTCTTCTTCCTACCTCGTCTGTTTAAAGCAATCGAACTTCTGAACCCCATGAAGAAATTATGAACGGTATTTAGAATGTTTTCTCCTTTCTTCGGATCCAACGCCAACAGCTGAAGCTGCAAAAGGATCTCATCCGAAGAATATGACTCTGCAGAAAAAAGAATACTTCGTCTTTCAGAATGCTCGTATACCATCGGAGAACCGTCGGGAGCTGTTTCATCGTTGTTTCCTTTTAACTGGTTGGCCACTCTTCGAATGCATTCGCCAATTTTAAACGAAGGCTTTAGAGGTTGATTTGCTGCCGGATATTTTGCAGCAGAGGAACTCATCCTCTTATCTGACCCATCGTCTAGAGAATCGAGTGCTTTCTGTTTTCTCCCGGAAGATAAAGGATCGTCTTCAGCGTCCGGGAAGAATTCCCCTTCCCCCATTAATTCTGCCATGCTTTTCTCCTTCCTCGACTCAGAATCGTTTTCTAGAATATTTTTGCATTTTAGGGAATCATCCATTGCGTCGATTTGCTCGCTATCCTCAACATTTTCCAGCAGTTCTCCGGTAGTAGGAAATCCAGTCGGGAGACGGTACCCTTTCATTCGACAAAATGCAGATAGCTGAGCTTGAGCAATCGCCAGATCCAATCGATCGGCCCCGGAAGGTGCATGGCGTGCCAATTCTTGAATATAATCGAGCAGGCTATGAGGCGAAAAATAAGTCGCTTGGCTGCACCTATCCAATCCATATTTTCGGCTTGATTCTTCCCGTATCCCGGCATTTTCAACAACTTGGCTTCCGATTTCCCCATAGGCATCCTTCGCCATACACGAACATGATAAACTCAGCTCTACCCGTCTTGAAACCTCTCCCAAAGCACAGCTCACAGCATTTTGAAATTCTTCGGAATTATTTTCCTTCTCGATCTCAGAAAAATGCGACCTGAAAGGCTTTAATTCAGACGCGTCGTTCCACGCAAACGTTTGATCTCCAAAATATGCTATCAAATAAGCATCTTTCTTGTAATGCTTTACAGCCTTCTCTGAAGCATCCGCTGGATCAAATATTTGCCCGGGCCACCATGGATGGCTACGAACTTTACCCCAAACTAAATCCAACGGTGAAAAATAACCCTCGTCTTCTGGCAACAGATACGAAGATATGTTCATTTTCGAAAAGTTATCGGGCTTCACCAATTCATCTTCATTGAAAAAAATCATGTCTTCATTTTCAGGAACAGCCCCTTCCGATTCTAATTCCGTCATTCCACCATGATATGCTCTGTCCGGCTCAAAATCCATGAGTTGGGCATCGGGATTTTGATCCTCCACAAAACATAATCCATCCGGCCTGACACAGCTATCATCTATTTCCATTGAATCACTACCTTTTTCGATAGAAGTCACTAATTCACATGTGGGATTGTCGACGCTTTCAGACATAGGCAACTCCGCCTTTTCGGCTATGTCCGGTAGCATGCTCATTTGACTGGTTTCATTTGTCGCTAAATTTATATTCTCGTGCTTTTGCGCCTCGTCAGTTGGTGTTTCAACTACTTCTGTAGAAATCTGTAGCTCCATACTTTGACACGAACCAAATTCTGCAATATCCGCAGAGTCAGCTTGAGAATTTACAGTAGGATAACTCTCAGTCGCTGTTCTATCACCCATCTCAACATTCACGCATGAAGAAAGTTCCACATTTTCTGTAGATGGGTCGAGCGTCGGAATTTCATCACCTACATGGCTATCTAAAGACTGTTTCGACATTTTAGAATCAACGTGGACGGTTGCTTCGTTTTGGCAGTCCATTGCCTCGCCTTCTGATGCAGCATCGACCGTATGGTTTTTTGCAATTTTATCATCTCCTGAACAACTTGAACTTATCATATGCGGTTGATTTTCCACTGTCTCGACTCCATTTACAACACTTGGGCTGTCGTCCTTGTTTGCTTCGGCAGTATCAAATCCATCGGTGAGTTGTGTTGGTTCGTGCTCGTGATCGTGGCTTTGATGGATTATATCAGACTTTAAATCTTCTTCAGTCATGATGCATTTCTCGTCGCCCATACTACTAGAATCTCTTACACTAACATCTGACGCCACATTATCTGCGCCAGATTCTGCAACAACAGCTTCCACTTTCTCAAAAACGACAGATTTCTCCACCACAGATTCAGAATTAGTATGTGAAACATCATTGATCTCATTAGCAGACTCAAGTTTCTTACGATGAAATTTGTGTACGTAACCTTGGCTCTCATCCACAACATCAGCAACTACGGCATCTGAATCAACAATTGATTTAATTTCTGCAGCAGAATTTTCTTGCTGATCACTAAGCTTCGCCGCGTCTCCACAAGCACCGTCATCTGTTACCAATTCATCAGCTGTCACAAATTTACTATCTTCAGCGACAAGTTCTTCCCCGACATTATTATTATCCGAACCAACACCTCCAACCACAATATTGATACCCTCAACCTGAACATCTTTAGTTTCCTCTCGGCTACAGTCGAGAGAAACCTTAGAAGCCATAACCTCACCTCCATCTGCTGCCGAACAACCCACCAAATCCACACCCAAAAAATCACGATCTGTGGAGCTCAATACCTCTCTTTTCTCTACAACACCAATTTCCTCATCATCAATGGCTTCCACAGGACAATTCGACACTACAAGCTTCACAACATCACCACGATCTTTAACCCCTTCATCTAATTCCCCCCCATCTTCACTAACCACGGCAGGAACCGTCTCCATACCTACATCAGTATCCACAGCCGGCAACTGACTCCCAACCACATCACCAGAAATATCTACCCCTCCTGCCGGCAACCCACAACCCAAAACAGCTTCAGAACAAGCAAATTCAGATAAATTAGCATCTACTTCTTTTACAGCTTCGACACTTCTCTCGTCTCCCAACACCGAGAGCTTCAACTCAGTACTCTCCACCATCTTATACTCATCCTCTTTGGTAGACACATCCATAGATTCCAAAAAATTTTGAGTCCCATCAGGTTCATCTCTGTTCTCCCAAACATTACCACTCTCCAAATCCCTAATTCCTCCTAACCCTAACCCTAATTCACTCTCTTTGTTCCCACTAACGCCATCAACCAACACATCTGAACCCACAACTTCCACCATTATCTCCCCACCATCTTCCCCCTCTTCATAAGACCCCTCAACCTGATTTCTTCCACTGGGTGAATTATGACCCAAAGACGAAGCTGAAACCCCACCCAAATCACCTTGCTCATCTTCCATAACTAATAAATCTGGATCAATCCAAACTAATCGCCCAAACAAGCTCCAACCTTACAAAATTCCTAAAAATAAAAGCAACATAAACATAAATCCTAATACCAGAACCGAAGGAAAAAAGATAAATTCAGGAAATTCGCAAACCAATAATGTGTTTTGCTTCAAGTAAGATTCGATTAACGTGCAATTGAATCGTGAGATTGCAGCAAGATTACCTGGCGGTCCTTGGAAGATTGAGAAAGCTGAGATTTTTTGAGGGTTTTCTCAGAGGGAAAAGAGTGAGGAGGGGCAGTGTGTGAGCTGAGATTCGAAGTACCATAAAAGAAAATTTAAGCAGAAAATTAACGAGGGCCTGTCCTTTACTGGTGAGTTTGGAGGATTTGCTAACGTAACGGAGCCGTCACCGAAATCCGCAGTGTGGCGATTGCCGATTCGACCGTCATCTAAGACCTCAATATTGGTCCGTGACTTTAATGTAAGGAATTTAGGTGATTTTATTTTACGAAGGTTCGGCCAAATCAGCACCATTTGGATTTTTCTAATTAAAACGATCAAAAGTAAAGTACAGATCAAAAATAAATGATATATATTTTCAATTTTGATTTTTCTAATTAAATCGATTAAAAATAGAGTACGGATAAAAAAAATAAATGATATATGTTCAGTTTTAATTTTTCTAATTAAATCGATCAAAAGTAGAGTACATATCAAAAATAAATTATATATTTCTGTTTTGATTTTTTTAATTAAATCGATCAAAAGTAGAGTACAGATAAAAATTAAAAAATAACTGATACACGTCGTGTGAAATAAAAGTATTACTATTAATATTTAAAATATGTATTTTATAAAAATAAATCAGCACCATTTAGATTTTCTAACTGATATATATATCAAAAGTACAGTACATATCAAAAGTAGAGTATAAATCATAAAGAAATAATATATAAAATAAAAGTATTACTATTAATATTTAAAGATATTTTATAAAAATAAATCAGCAGAGTATTGATTTTTCTAATTCAGATCAAAAGTACAGTACAAATCAAAAGTAAATAATATATGTTATGTGAAAGAAAAGTATTTTTATTGATATTGATATTTAAAATATATATTGTATAAAAATAAATCAACATCGTTTAGATTTTCTAACTAACATCGATCTAAAAGTAGAGTACAAATCAAAAGTAAATGATATATGTTATGTGAAATAAAAAGTATTTTAATATTTAAAATATGTACTTTATAAAAATAAATCAGCACAATTTGATAGAAACAACAACACAATTTAATAGGAATAAGAACTAATTTTATTACTTAGAAGAAATAAGATTGATATATTCGCCCAACAGTAGCCGTTTACAGTAATTTTTTCTGGATAAACTTTTCTAACCTTAATTCCATTTATTTATATCAACTTATAAATTTGATTATAAATAAGATAAATGACTAATTTGCAATGCTAATATAATAATATGTATGGTAATAGAGCGATTAGACCAAAATGCCCTTTTCCGTGTCATGTATAGACACGCAAAGGTACCGAAGCCATTGTTTTATGGTGCTTGCACTTGCGGTTATTCCATATCAACTCTATTTCCCTCCGAAAAAGTCTTCTCCTCAAGATGAAATTTTGGAAATTGGTCATGCAAATCCTCAATATCCATTCAGATGGCATTATCCTCAGAAAGCCCTTGCTACTTGACCAAAATTTGGGTTACATCTCACTCTTTTCTGGTGTTGTACTCGCTTCCCCAACACTCACTCCGGTTTAAATAAAAGGATGTCAGAAATATATAAGCCATAGGGCAGATCGGATTCTACCGGAAAATCCCTGACTACTCTGTTTAGTTGTGAGACATGAAAAACAGGGTCAATTCGGCTGGATTCCAGAAGTCGCAAGCGATAGGCTGTAGCACCAATACGCTTCTCTACTCGGAAAATGCCATAAATAACTTGTGGTGGCATGTGGTCTAAATCGATATTTGCCTTTATGGTCGAACCTTCAAGAATACCGCATCCCCAACATCAAATTCTACCTCTCAACGGTTCGTATTGTCGCACCTTTGCATCCGCATCTGCACCCATTCTAGGTTGAATTGTAACAACCGAAGCATTGCATATTGACCAAATAGAAGTTCAGCCACAGCCACTGCCTTACATTCCCCTGGGAGGTAGGGCGTAAATCCGGTGGCTACAGCCCATAAACTGCTTCAAATGGGGTGATCGTAACTGCTATTTGAAAAGCACTATTGTACCTAACATCGATCAAAAGTACGGTACAAATAAAAAAAAATATTAAATAATATATGTTATGTGAAATAAAAGTATTAGCACATTTTTTATTTTTCTGATTAACATCGATCAAAAGTACAGTACAGATCAAAAGTAAATAATATATGTAAAACTATTATTGTTAATATTTAAATTTTATATTTTATAAAAATATACCATGTGCATATTTGCAGTTTTTTTTAACAAACTTCTGCATGAGTATCATTTTGAACTTTTCTAACGATTATTCATTGATAATTTTAAAAACGAAAAAATAGCATATTATTCACTTCGTTCTTACAATAATTTAGGTAAAAAATAATTAATAAATAATTTAAAAATATATTAGTAAAAAAAATATTATATAATAAAAATAATTATAAGTTAACATTAAAAAATAACTAAATAATTTAATTAAAATTTAAAAAATTATAATTTATGAAACTTAAAATATGATTAAAATATATAATTATATTTCTGAAAAAAAATAAAAATTATAAATAATTTATTGGGGAATGGGAGTAATTTTTTTATAATTTTTTTTTTAAATTACAAATTTTGATTTGATTGGATTTGTTTTAAAAATTTATTGCTAAACAATTTTTGTACTCCCCAAGCAAATAGATGCATTTTTTTCCAATAAAATGTTGTGTAATACAAATATAAATAAAATACAAAGACAACACTTTTTAAATTTGTTTCATTTATTTGGAGAAATCGGCACCTATAAAAAGTACAGATTGTTCATGCTCTTATTTCACATAGCATAGACTAAATAAAATAAAAACATATTCAAATGTGCATAAGTTGTATAAAAATATATCATATGTATTAAAATCAATTGTTATATATGTTGTTAGTTGATATGATGTATATTTATATTATATTAATATAAATAATGTGATATTTGTAATAACATCGTATATTGTCTGTTAGCACACCGCTTTCTCAATATAGTCCTTTTTAATTTATACTTGAGATTAAGGTTTGGGAAGTGAAAATTCTTTAATTGAAATAGTATTTGGTATAACATATATGTGATGTTTAAATAAGATTACATCGATTTGTTTGACTGTAATTTAAAATTGATTTGAAATATGATGTTGATTTAAATTTTTATTTAAGTAGTATTTTATAAAAAATAAAATATTTTTATTGAAAATTGCACGAAGTGAATACTACTCCTTCTGTCATGTATAATTTGTCTCATCTTTTTATTTATGTCCGTCCGGCAGAATTTGTCATTTCAAATTATATACTTTAATCATATTTTAAAATTTAAAATTTATATTTTTTAATTTTCATTAAACTATTTAGTGATGTTGATCTTAATTTATAATCATTTTTATTAAATTATAATTATTTTTACTAATACACTTTTTAATTACTTAATAATTATATTATACCTAAAATTTTATGCCCAAGCTAAATGAAACAAGCTGAGACGGAGGAAGTAGTAATTTAAAACTTAAATCACAACAAAACAATAGTTCTTCTAAAATTTATTTGTATGTGTTTTTTTATATTGAATATGTAGAATTATATCAGTTAATATAAAAAATAATATTTTATATTAAATTATTAAGATGTATTCTTTTAACTAAAATTTTTATAACATATTTTCCCAAAAATAGGGTGTATTCTTTTAACTAAAATTTTTCTAACATATTTTCCCAAAACATTATATATGACCACTAGAAAAATAACACACGCAAACATAAAGCAAAAATACTCGAAATTTGTCTCGTAAGAGATGACCTGGTGGTGTAGACGTTAGACATGTGGCCGTGAGGTCATGGGTTCGCCTCAAGTCACCTGCCACACATGGTTCGCCTAGTATGACTTGTCTGTCGAACCTAGTTTGCAGGGTATTAGGTCGGCCGGAGTTTACCCGGTGCATTCCCACGTCATCAAAAATAAAAAGTACTCCATATCTTGTTCATAACCTCCCAAAATAATCTCCCCATCCCAATCCCAAGCCGTGTCATGTATATAAATCAATTTCTAAATTCAAATCTTTAATATCCTAAAACAACTGTCATGTTGAAAGTTTTTAACAATTTATGAAGAAAACTATGATTAATCTTGCATATAAAGAACATCAAACTTTTTTACCAGATAATGATCAGGAGGATATTCACATTGTTGAGATGATCGAGCCGTGTGTTCTACAGGGACGTAATCGATGACTTATGAGCAATATCGTAGACAGAAATGAGGATTTCGGCACCTATCAAGATGATAATCAGCCACTCGAGGAAATCTGATTTCCGGTTCTGCATAATTTCTTGAAGAAACCGAATATTGTGCTGCATTCATCGAAGGGTGAAAATGTTTAACCAAGTGCACCATGCCACAAAAGGGAAACATTAACGGTGTAGTCTTTTTGGAGATTCAAATGTAATGTTTTGTGAGAAAAAAATAATACTCCATCCGTTCATTCTAAAGATATATACATTTATTTTTGGTGCGGAACTTAAGAAATACTACTATCTCCATCCACTCACAAAATGATTACTTTGTAATTGGACAACCAAAAAAATATATGTATACTTTGTGAGTGGACGGAGGTAATATTATTTCTTAAACTCCGTGTCAAAAATAAACAAATATTTTTTAGCTGGATAGAGGACGCAGTGCTTTAATTGTAATGGGTAGTTAAAAGTAGTGTAAAAACAAATTTACTCTTACTTTTTTGTGTAAAAGTAATAATCTGATGGTAAATTCTGAGTATTTTGTACAAAAAGGGTGGAATCATAGTTATTAACAAAGAAAATTATTTTGTAATTGGATAATTCAAAATAAAGTTGTGTATACTTTTAGATAGAGGGAGTATATTTTTTATAGAAAATCGCAATGGTTGCATAGTTAAAAACTGAAACCAAGCTCCAAAAGGACAAAATCTATAGTTATCTGTGAAAGAATAGACAAGAAGAAATACCTCGACAAACTTCAACTTGAAATCAAGGCTGGCGAATCTCTGAGTTAATTCGAATTCATCCCTCAGATACTCCCAAATCTGTGCATATTTAGCATCCTTCCAGGCAATATCCGATCTAGATTAGGTAGAAGGCGTCGTCTCAGTATAAGAGAATAAACAAACAAGTAGAAACATACGAAAGTAAATCGCACACACGGATAGAATGTAAGGCATAATGCTGATTTAACTAGCAAACATTTGAGGTGCATGCTGCAAAAGAATGGAAGCATAAGGAGTTGCATGGCAATACAAACTGAAACCCAGCACAGAATCAAGATAAATATGTTTCTCAATCTGGAAATTGAATGGTTTGAAAACAAGAATGGATCTTGGAAGGTTGGTGTGACTTCAAATTCTTGAAATTATTTCAAATTTTTTATTCATAGCTTATATATAAGGTCTGGTTTTGGCCTGGCACTATTCATCAAAATTTTGACCCTCAAAACCATCAAATCAAAACATCTCTTTTCATTTAATATATAACACAGAATTTTCCGTTAAAACGTCACACCAAATACTATTTCAAATTCAAATATTAACTATTCCCAAGCCTTAAAGGAACACAACCGCAATTCTCGTATACTTATGTATAACCCCCTCAAAGCAGCAAACTTAAATTCAAAGCAAAATTATTTAGAATATATTGGTGTGACCAACACAGCAATTTTATGTGACTCAATACTGTACAGACATAAATCAGTATATATCTCAATTTTTCAAACAAAATAAGCTGAAAGATCTACCTTTCGAAAAGTCCAAGCTTAAGAATCACATCAGCAAGATTTGAATTTGCCTTCCCAACCAGCTGGAAGAGCTTTTTTCGTTCCATAGTAAAGGTCCCAGTTTTCTCCATCCCTCGGTTGATGTCTGTGAATTCTGCAACCATTCCATCAACCTAAAATGAACAGGAATAGATCAAAAGTCAATCTCAAAATCAAGGAACACTGCTAAATAGAAAAGTAAACCGGAATCCACACCTGACGGACATAATAGTCAAGAGCAATACTTTGACCAAGAACACTACCAATTGTACGAATTCCATCAATGTTTAGGTATTGCAGCATAATGTAATCAAGCCCACCTTCCATCCATGTGTTTAAAGTTGGTTTCTCTCTCACCTCATATTCTGATTTCCCAACACAAGTTAGAGCCGCAATAGAGGAAACGAGTGAAAAAAATAAAAATGGCAGCATCACACGGCGACGTGTATGATTATATTGATAAGACTATATAGCACATACCCAAGTGGAAACTAGAAGATAAAAGAAATCTAATGTGCCTTGTATCTATATTTGTTAAATAATTGGACAAATAAATGGTAATAATACACCTAAAATTTCGAAAACAAAAGGGTTAGGAAAACATTAATAAATAAGGATATGTGTTCCTAAGCTATCTTTGCATCTTTGCCAAGGTCCCTCAGTCAACATATAAACGAGCAAAATTAACAAAGAGATATTTTCAGTTATACAATATATTTTGTCATTGTTTTCCATATGCTGCCTCGATAACACTTAACAGATTTGACATAAATTAGCACCACTCCTGTAATGATGTTCTTCTTTCCCAGATGAGCAAACCAAGTTTTACTGAATTTTCTTGTGCATTATTTTCCCAAGGATAACTTGATAGCAGTTGCATGGGGCATCTTAACAGTATTGCAGGTTCACAATTTCATAGTGATCAGTCATGTTTACCACACAATTCAAGATTTACAATCCAGATTCCTTCACATTACATATTATAATACATCAAACACAAGAGAGAACCTGATTGGCTTACAAATTTAAACCTGGGCTCGGATATGACTTACCATCCTTTCTCATCTCTGGAAGCAATCCTGAGGCATGCCTTTCGACAACTTTTAGATATCCATCAACTTCATGGTCACGAACATTGAATAGAACAATGGAGCCATATTGGAAAACTACCATGTAACAGCAATCATTCCCACCTAAACTAGAACCTGAACCCTGAGAAAACCACATGCACAAATAATCATGTGATAAAAATAAAAATTAAGAGGCATATGTTGGAACTAAAATTGTGTAACATTACATGAACCTAGCTACTGAAACAAGGTTATTAAGGAAAATGAAATAAAAAATGGCACAGAGTATATAAGCTGCATATTAATAAAGGGGATTTATAAATTTTTCGATCAGATAAGCATATATTATATCGCTGTCAGATCAAAGAAACCGCTTACTCATATAGATCAGCTTCCAGCACTCAATAATCATTGACAGATAAACTTAGAATTGAACAAAATTCCCAATCAAAAAAAGCAGTCCAGTTTCTATAAAGTAAACATTTCAGTGGCAGTAGTCCCTGCTGCAGTGTAGTTAAGACAGCATTTAGTGATTGCATCACTTACAGCAAAAGGCACAACAAATTGTACATAATACAAGCTCTTTGAATTTCTCCAAAAAGTAAATTTCAAGATTTGTTTAAGCAAACCTCAACCTAAATTTTTGATTCTAGAACCACATGCCTTATTTATGAAGATAAAACTACAGAAATGAACATTGATCCTCATAATGGAGTATTCTAAAGAGTAAAGACTAAGCATAATGATAATAGTACAGGTCAAGAGTTCACAGAAGCTCAGGAAAAAAAATGTAAACCCAACCAAGTAACTTCTCGCATATATAAGTACAAACTAAAAACACTGTCAATATTTTGTGACCTGAATTAAAATTAATTCAAATTTTAAAATTTTAAAAATTCACATAATTGAAGATCTTGCTTTCTTCTTTCGATTGAATCTCCCTCCTCATGTATCTGTTAAATGCTCTTCTCTGAGAAGAGCTATGGCAGGCAAAAGAAAAATACTATAATAGGTATCACTCTCTGCAAGTAATAGCAAAGAACAACACTATAGCTTTTTGTGAATAAGAACAACACAATGTTCTTTTCTGTGAATAAAGTCTAGATCAACAATGAAACAAGCATCAGTCTTATTTGAAACTTTGATCTGATTCTTCACTAAACTTTTAATATAACAATGAGGTTCTATTATTTTGATGTGATAACACTTAAATAAACATACAATTTCACTTCTATCACTAAAACTTACTGCTTCAACAAGTAAACAACCATTGACAACAGACTACTCATGCTGTAAGTTCAAAACTTACTTTTATGCACATCAATTTCATAGTACAAAATCATAAGGCTGCATTGTGCAATTAAGAGAAACCCATATAAATTCATAAACCAAATACTCCATTAACCGCATGCAGCAAGAACTTCACTATAAAAGAAAACTCACATTCGGGTCAGGCTTCAAATCACCAAATCTAAAAACAACATAATTCGTCATTCTAGATGATGGAGGGATGAAACTCTGTTTATTCTGCTCAACCAAGCTCCTTAAATCCACACTGCAACACAATCACCATACCCATTGCCAATAATTTAATCCATCCTTAGAAAAGCACAAAAAAATAATTAACAAAATGTAGAAGCTAAACCAACAACTGAAACCTCGTGGAGAAGAAAAATGCCCTAACAGGAATTGAAGTGTTGGGGGCATCGCCAATTTCATCATCCTCCTCCTCCAGCTCCTCCATTGCCACTCGATTATCAACCTCCGAGCCTGAAACGGCGTCGTTCCAATCCAAAGTACTAGCAGCAGGTGACGAAATCGATGATAAGCATTTCGACAGCTGCAAGCCGGATCTCCCCTGCATATAAGATAACGCACGCAAGGCACTCACCGAACGCGCGGGCATAAACATAGACGCACTAGACTCGCGGTGGAAAACGACTGAAAATGAAAAATTGGCGCCGGAGATAGGTTTCCGGCAGACGGTGGAGAAATTCCGCGGGGAAGGGCGAAAGGGGGAGCTGAAGATGGCTTTTGCCATGCGGGGAGAGAAAATAATTAGCCTCATTGGTTTACTGCTATGCTTCTGCTGCTTTTGTGTACATTTAACAGCTCACTTTTGCTTAAATGCAATCGGCGACGGCGGCGGCGGCGGACGGCGGCGGAAACCTGCGTTTGGAGCCGAGGAAATATATGCGGTGCGTCTTCTCTGACTCGATCACTGTATCCAAGTTAGGAATTTTGCAGATAAATCCTAAACTCGTTCAAATTTTTGTTGTAGTTCATTTTTTTTTTTTTTTTTTTTTTTTTTAGTCCTTACCCTAAACGATAGTTTAGAGTTGGTCCCCACGTTTCTAAGTGTGTGTTTATATGTGTTTTTTTTTTTTTTTTTGTGGAAATTTAAATTTTGTATTTAAATACTCTCTCATCTAACATATTATATCACTTTTTTTTTATTTTAATTATATTTTAAATTTTATAATATATAATTTTTTAATTTATACTAATTTATATTATATTGTAATTAATTTTACTAATATATTTTTAATTATTTACTAATTATATTCCTTCTAAATTTATTTGTCTGCGGTAAATATGACACCATAATTGAAATAGAGGGAACAATATTTAGATATATTAAATAAATTGTGTAGATATTAAAAAAAAAAACAAAAATTTAAGATATTTTTTTCGCTTAATATTTTGAGGTTGAACAATTCTCTAAAAATATTAGTATTAAATATATCTACACGCATATTAATGCAATATACTTCATCCGTTCCAATAATAGTTATGTTTATCATTTTTGTCAGTTTCAAAATAATAGTCTCATTTTCATAAATAATCATATCACTGTAAAATTACCTTTACTTTTTCATTATTATTACATATTTGCTACTATTTTTTATACTAATACACTCACAAGGGTAAAAAAGTCTTTTAACCGTACTTTTTATCCACTGTCAATATAATATCAATATTTCTTCAAACACAACAAAAACTATAATTTTGAAACGGAGAGAGTATATAATATATTTTATTTACTCGCAAAAATCAATAATTAAATATAAAATATTAATTTTTAAATTATTAATGCAAATCTTCATGCTAAAGTAAAAAATACTTACATCTAAAAATACATAGTGAACAAACTATTAGGAATAAAATAAAAATGATTAAAATAACCCCATTAGTATTGTGTGATATAAAGGTAATAACATTTGTGTAATATATTGTAAATTGTAAGAATATTTGTAATGATAGGTAGATAATACAATTACTAAAAAAAAATAAATACTTTTTTAATGGGACAGACTAAATTGGAAAAATAGATAATTTATTATAGAACAGATAGAGTATTATTTATATTATCGACATAAATAATTATACCCTATATTGAAAAAAAAAAATCTTCAAACTAAAAATGCAAATTCTCGACCTCAATATATATATATATATATATTAATTATTTTATAAAATATTAAATTAAATAATCTTGAATTGTCTCGTTTTTATTTGAATTTGATGTTTTAATATTTTTTATTTATATAAATAGTATTTTAATATAATATTTTATAAAAGAATAATACAATATTTTTATTTAAAACTAGCGCTTTGGTTTGAAATTCAATATACAATATATAAATATATAAAAGTACAAACTCAAAATGAGGATTTATATAAAATAAATTTATGTTATTTTACATTTTATTGCGATATAATTTTTATAAATTTAAATACATATTTTAAAATTTTTTAATTTTATATATTAAATTTATTTTAAATTATCAATAATATTAATCACATAAAAAATAATAAAATAATATCATAATTTATTATTATTAATTAATTAAATATTATTATTTTAAATATTTTGTCATAAAGATGTCAATTGTTTGGAGACGACAAAAATATTAAATTATAATTATATATTTCGTATGTTCCTTAACAATTTATTATTTTTTTCATTATAATCCGTCTATAAAAATATATCCATTTTTTTTTTAGTAATTGTACTATTTATTTAATATTACAAATACATTTTAAATTTACAATATATTACAAAAATGTCATTACTGTTACGCACAAATAATAATAATAATAATAATAATAATAATAATAATAAGGTATCCAGAGTCAGTCGGTGGGTTCTCAGTCTGTTGGTTCTCAATCAGATAAGCAAGTCAGATGGTCCGCAGTCGGGCAAGCAGGTCGGATTATCCGCAGTCGGATAAATGGGTCGGTTGATACAAAGGTTGGCTGCTATGGGGGTCGGTCGAAAAAGGAAGTCGGGCGAAGAAAGGTCTGTTGATAGGTCAGACGATTGAAGAGACCAAATAGTGGTCGTTTGATGGGGCGACCAGTGAGTCTTTTGATCTGGCGACCGATTATGTATCTAGATTGGTCGGTTGGTCGGTCGTTGGGTTATGCGGTTGGCGAGGCGGTTAAAGACATGTGTCAATGAAAGAGGCAGTTCTGAGTTCTGTAACTGGTGGGAACGGTTGGTGAAACAGTGCGACGGTTCTGAACGTTTTCTTCAAAAAATATTTAAGGATTTGGATCATCATTTGGCAAGGCATCTTCAATCAACTTCAACAAAGCAAAGTCAGATTTGGGGATCACCACTTTAAATTTCAGTCTTTTATTTTCCAGTTTATTTTCTGTACCATACAGTGTTTAGAGATTCCTAATCTCAGGCACTAATTAATCAAGTTTAAGGATATTTTCTATATCTTTGAATTTTACTTTATTTTTGTTGAAAAATTACATCAACAAATTGGCGACCACAGTGGGAGAAAATTGCTGATCCATATGGCAAATTTTCAATTCCACAGTACAGCCGTTGGCTTTATCACGGCAGAAGAAGCTTCCCAACTACGGGCCGAATTGACAGCAGGTTTTCGGCAAATGTACGACCAGCAGATAGCAAATCTGCAGGCAATACATGACGCAATGCAAAACTTGATGGAGCAATCAAAATTCATGTTGAATTCGGTTCCTGCACCGCCAGAAATGTCATGCCCCCAAACGGACAACACCATTCCTGAGCATATACCCAGTCAGACAGACTGGAGACAGGACCAAACAGGAGGACAAGCCCGACCAGGGACGACCGAATGGACGGAGACAGGTCGGCAGGATCACGACGCCCGGACGGACCATGGTCGGGAAGACCACACCGACTGGACGGACCATGGTCGGGAGGACCACACCGAAGGGACGGACCGTAGTCGGGACAACCACACCGACTGGATGGACAAAGGTCGGGAGGACCACGCTGACTGGACGAATACAGATCGGGAAGACCACGTCGACTGGACGGACAAAAATCGGGAGGACTACGTAACCTGGACGGATACAGGTCAGGAGGACCACGCCGACTGGACGAATACAGATCGGGAAGACCACGTCGACTGGACGGACAAAAATCGAGAGGACTACGTAACCTGGACGGATACAGGTCAGGAGGACCCCGCCGAATGGACGGATACAGGTCAGGAGGACCCCGCCGAATGGACGGACACGGGTCAGGTCGCCGACCATAACTTTTCAGGCGAGCAAAAGAATGACAGAACAACAGTGGCCGAAAGGAGGAATAAGTCGGACGGGAGTCTGAATACAATGGTAGTGCAAGATCGACCAACGTCCAGGCCAGCACCAGTCCGCGATAAATGGAGGTCGGGTCCAACGTAGCCTCAAAGGATGGAGGTCGGATCTGAGGCTGATGTAGCCTCGGATGCTAACCTACTAACTCCTAAAACATCATAAGAAATGATGCTTAGGAGTCTTGAGGAGGAGGCATGTTGTTACGCACAAATAATAATAATAATAATAATAATAATAATAATAATAATAAGGTATCCAGAGTCAGTCGGTGGGTTCTCAGTCGGTTGGTTCTCAATCAGATAAGCAAGTCAGATGGTCCGCGGTCGGGCAAGCAGGTCGGATTATCCGCAGTCGGATAAATGGGTCGGTTGATACAAAGGTTGGCTGCTATGGGGGTCGGTCGAAAAAGGAAGTCGGGCGAAGAAAGGTCTGTTGATAGGTCAGACGATTGAAGAGACCAAATAGTGGTCGTTTGATGGGGCGACCAGTGAGTCTTTTGATCTGGCGACCGATTATGTATCTAGATTGGTCGGTTGGTCGGTCGTTGGGTTATGCGGTTGGCGAGGCGGTTAAAGACATGTGTCAATGAAAGAGGCAGTTCTGAGTTCTGTAACTGGTGGGAACGGTTGGTGAAACAGTGCGACGGTTCTGAACGTTTTCTTCAAAAAATATTTAAGGATTTGGATCATCATTTGGCAAGGCATCTTCAATCAACTTCAACAAAGCAAAGTCAGATTTGGGGATCACCACTTTAAATTTCAGTCTTTTATTTTCCAGTTTATTTTCTGTACCATACAGTGTTTAGAGATTCCTAATCTCAGGCACTAATTAATCAAGTTTAAGGATATTTTCTATATCTTTGAATTTTACTTTATTTTTGTTGAAAAATTACATCAACAATTACATTTGTACTAATAAAGTTAGTTTAGTTTTTTTTTAATTCTACTATATTCCAATATTAATATTTCTAAAATTCCGTGAAAAAACAAATGAATAGATAGATATGGGACGGAGGGAGTATTTGTTTTATAATACTTTTAAAAATATATTCCCTTCGTCCCATTAAGGATGACTCGTTTGGTTAAAAATACAGTATTTTAAGTAGCATAAATTGGTAAGTTATTAATGATAAATTATGATATTATTTTTTGTATTAGTAGTGTTGTTGGTATTTTAAATATTTTTCGGATTATAGCTTAATAACATATATGCATATAAATATAATCTTTTATAATAAAATTTTATATAATATAAATAGATAAACTAATATATTTATTTCTTTATAATTAATTTAAAACTAATTTTATAAAAAATAAAAGTTTTAAATATAAATAAAAATATTTGTTTATTGATGATAGATAAAAAAATAAGTTAAAAAATTAAAAATTTATTAAATTAATTTATGTTTTTTATTATATTTAAGATGAATAAATTTTAAAAAGTAGAAAAGTGAGTCATTTGTAACGGATATAAAAAATACTATAATAACTCTGATTTAAAATATTCAACTTTTAAATTATATAGTTGTATAATTAGATATATAAATTAAATATATATATATATATAATATGGATTTTTATTTTTTTTTTGTTTGTTTGAAACATTTTGATTTAACTTTGATATTTAATAATAGGCTAAATTGCACAAAATCTACGTGTGGTTTCATGAAATTGCACCAAATCCCCATACTTCTAAAACTGCGTCAAACTCCCTCGTGGTTTCACAAACTTTGCGTCTAACCCCCTCAGTGGTCCTTATTTAACGGTATTTGATCTAAATGCGCTCATATTGCGAATAAATTTTAAAATCTCAATTTATAAACCCCTAAAAGTATAAATATATATATTTTTATATTTACTCTAAAAAAAATAGTAAATATACTAAAAAATAGTTATTTTTCTCAGGTTTTAAGAGTTTATTTTTACTATTTTTTTAGGCTAAATATATAAAAATAAATATATTTGTAATTTTAGGGGTTTAGAAATTGAGATTCTAAAATTTATTCGCAATTTGAGCACATTTAGGTCAAATACCGTTAAATAAGAACCGCTGAGGAAGTTAGACGCAAAATTTATGAAACTACCAAGGAGTTTGACGCAGTTTTAGAAGTACGAGGATTTGGTGCAATTTCATGAAACTACATATGGATTTTGTGCAATTTAGCCTTAATAATATTAGATTGAACATTTTATAAAAAAATTTTTTTTTTCACAAACTATTGAATTTAAATAATAAAATTTAAATATTTGAATAAAAGAAACATACTATTTTTTTATATATTAATATTCTAAATTTTAATATTCAGTAGAATAAAATAAATAAATAAATATTTTGAAATTTGAAGAATAAACATAATGAGTATAATACTTTTCAAGGGTGTGTTTGTTTGGGGGTTTGGATTTTGAGTTGGGATTTGAATAGTAAAAATTTTGAATTTGAATAGTTGTATGATGTGATATAAATAGGGTTTGATGTGATGTTTTGAATGTAAAATTGATTTTTAGTATAATATAAAAAATGAAAAATAGGTGTTTGATGTTTCATATTTTTTATTTCCGTCTATTCCATATAATTGGTCATTTCATTTGTTGAAAATATAATTATATACTTTAATTAATTTTAAAATTCATAATTTATAAATTTTTTTAATTAAATTATTTAGTTATCTTAATCTTAATCTATAATTATTTTTATCAAATCGTAATTATTTTTACTAATAAACTTCTTAATTATTTACTAACTATACAATACCTAAAACTCTGTATTTAAGCTAAATAATATAATTTAGTTGAGACGGAGTAAATAGTTAATTAAATTAAAAATATTTCAATAAAATTTTTCTCTCTCCAAAATTTTAATGAAAAGAAAAATGTGTACAATTTGCCTCCATTCCCTTTAAAAAAATTGAACTCATATTTTCTATATGATTCTTAATATATATATATATATATATTGTATCTTAGCACAAAGTTAATATTCTACATAAAATATTAATATATTTTATATTATTGAAATAATTTCATATACTTTACATAAAAAAAATTAAAAATAAAACACGAATCAAATTGTGATTTAAAATTTATTTGAAAATAATATGTTATATTTAAATTTTTATTTAAATAATATGTTTGATTACGGAAAATTTAGCCTTATTCATTTGCATTTTTATGAAAAGGTGAGATTAAATTTCTCGGAAAGATTGAGTATTGTTTTTTATATTATGACATTATTTTATATAAAAAAATTTCAAATCACACTAAACAAACAAACCCAATATTTTGATATACTCCATCCGTTCAATGTAATAGTCTTATTTACTATTTTTGTTCGTCCCAAAACAATAGTATTAAAACTATCCCTATTTTTTTATTTTTATTAAACAATTGCCACTACTTTTTACACTAATACACTCACAAGGGCAAAAAAGTCTTTTATCCATACTTTTTACCGACTATCAAGACATTTGTGTAATATATTGTAAGTTGTAAATGTATTTGTAATGTTAGTTAGATAATACAATTACTAAAAAAGAAATGAATATTTTGTTATGAGACATACTAAAATGAAAAATAGATACTTTGTTATGAGACGGAAAAAGTAAGTTGTAAGAATATTTATTACTCAATTGGTACATATATCATGTCACACTTTCTATTTTTGCCGTTCTTTATATTATGCCCATTTCCTGTTTTGAGAAAGTATTTATATTTCAATTATATTTTAAATTATATAATATATATTTTAAATTTTTATTAAATTAATAAGTTGTTTTTAATTTTAATTAATAATTATTTATATTATATTGTAATTGATTTTATTAATATATTTTTAAATTATTTTTTAATCATATTCGCTTAAATTTTTGTATCTAAAACAACAGTGATACGATATTAGAGACAGATAGAGTATACTAGCTAGGTAATACCATTATTCAATTTTAGCAAAAGAATATCCTTATTTTGGAACAAATAGAAATGAAAAATAATAATTCTTATAGAACCGAAAGAGTATTTATTATTAATATTCTATTAAAAATAATATTTAATTTTAAAATATCACGCTCCTTTCTATTTTTGATAAATTTATTTATTTTAATTACATTTAATAAATATAAATTAATTTAATTAATTTATAATCTCTCACACAAAGCACCATTCAAAATTCTTTTATTGGTAATTTTTATTTGTATTATATAAATTTTATTAGTTACAAAAAAAATATATATTTTACTGAGATATAACAATAAAATATTTAAATACATATTTTAATAGTTAATAATTGATCTTTACTGTCTAAATAAATAATCTATATTGTCTAAATCCATATTTCCAAATAAAATGATTCATCTCTATCGAGATAGTAATATTTATTTATATTATATTCATTCCGTCTCAATAAAATAGTTTGTGTACCATTTTTGTCCGTCCCGAAACAATAATTTTATTTTCATAAATATCTATATTACCATAAAATTACCTCTATTTTTTCATTTTTATTACACAACTGTCACTACTTTTTACATTAATACACTCACAAAGACAAAAAAAAGTCTTTTATCCATATTTTTTACAAACTATTAGTATAATATTAATATTCTTTAAATTTTATGCCAAATCCAATTAAAACTATATTTATGGAACAAGTATGAAATAATTATTAAAATTAAAATACAATTCAAATCAATTTCCAAACGTTCACCTAAAAACATTTATTTATTGATTACATCACCATCATCATCATCATCATCATCATCCTCGTCGTCAACCATCTCCCCGCCTTTCTTTTGAGTTTTTATTACTATTCCACAACCACAAATACCCACACACACCCGCACGTGTGTGTGTGAGAAAATTATTATTATTATTATATATATATTATTTAATTCCACTATTTTTTTATAAACAAAATAAAATAATAATAATAATAATAATAATAATAATAATAATAAAAATTAGAAGGCCATCCATTAAAAAAGGGCGTCTTAATCCTCTGGCTTTCAATCATCGCTTTGTGGTGTGCCCGTACAAACTTCTTCGTCTCACTTCGCTGCTCTCTCTCTCTCTCTCTACATTCTCTCTCCCTTTCTGCATTTCTTCAGAGAAGTCTGCTGCCTGCATAGCTTGTCTGGGCTGGTTGGGTACAGCCTGGTGCTTTCCACCACTGTAATTTCTGAATCTTGCATTTTTGTTCCTTTCTATACTGTCTGCTCTCCCATGCCCTCCTCGCCTGTAATGTGGATGGTTTTTTGGGTTTATGGTCTTGAATGGGATGAGTTTCTGATCTGAAAATCAATGAAGATTTCAGCCATTTGTTGGGGAATTTTGCTTTGTGTTGTATGGCATTAGGGTTTGGATTTTTTTTTACTTTGTATTTAGGTTTTTGGTTTTTTTTTTTTTTTTAATTTTTGTTTGTCAATGCTGTTGGGGTTTAATGTGTTTGCATGTTTGTGTAAGAGTTTGGGCGAAATGTGGCACTGTTTAAGTTCTTGGTGTGATTTTTGGCTTATTTCTTCCTTTGCTGTTTGTAACTTCTTTTTGTTGGGATTTGAAGGAAGAAAGAAATGACGAGCAACGAAGAAGAGAAGAGATGCCCGCTCTGTGCGGAGGAGATGGATTGGACAGACCAGCAGTTCATGCCTTGTAAATGTGGTTATCAGGTTGTGTTCTCACTCTGAACTCGTTTGTTGTTTTGTTTATATTATCTGCATTTTGAATGATTTTGTGTTTGTTTCTGAAATTTCTTTCAGATTGTAATTTATGGCAATGAATGGTATGGTGTTGTGATGATTTTTTAATGCTTAGTTATACGATTCAGCAGTGGTTTATGAAATTAGGAAGGGGTGGGGGTGTTTTTGTGTATAAGGTTAGGTTGGATGTGAAGAGGGTTTATGTTCATAATTTCATATAAGTCACTTTTGTCTTTGCTTGGGATATGCATTTGGTTTCGGTTTTGTAAATGTAGATGTTTGCTCTTGTGGTAGTTCTTAAGTTGAATGAAACAAGTTTGGGATTCTTATGTTTTTGGATGGAGATTGACGCCGAAGATTATAGAATTTTGCCTTTCTCATTAATTGAAATCTTCTTTTTAAACTCATGATTCTCCTTTATTGAAATATTCTTTATAAGATGGCTTAATTATCACTTTTGGTTAAGTGTTGTTAAATTATTCTGAAGAAAGCTATGGCTGAGTTGCACTTTTTGTGTTTGCTGATTCTGCAGATTTGTGTTTGGTGTTGGCATCACATAATAGATATGGCGGAGAAAGATACATCAGAGGGTCGCTGTCCAGCTTGTCGGACAATTTATGAAAAGGAGAAAATTGTGGCGATGCAAGCAAAGTGCGAAAAGTAGTGTCTTATCTTTATTTATTTTTTTTGGGAATCCTTATATATTATTTGAAATAAGTTTCGGTTCTAACACTTGGTTGAGCCTTTTTATAGGACGATGACCAAAATATCTAACAGGAAATCGAAACCCCCAAAGGCAGCGAAGCCGAAGGCAAATGATGTAAAGAAGGATTTGACAAATGTTAGAGTGATTCAACGGAAAATGGCATATGTGATTGGGCTACCTCTTAGTGTAGCTGATGAAGATGTGGGTAGTTTATTTGTTAGTTTGATTGATTTGGATTACTTGTCGGGATTTGTTTTTTATTTCTCATAATTAAGTTTCCTGTTAACTACTTTTATTTGCTTCAGATCATGATCACAGTTACAAATATGGATGATTTCATTCTTCAGTTATAAGGAGGAAATGTTTTTGGAACAGGTGTTGCTGCGAAAGGATTATTTTGGTCAGTATGGGAAAGTGACAAAAGTTTCACTTTCAAGGACTGCTGGTGGGGCCATTCAGCAATTTGTCAACGACACATGCAGCGCGTGAGTGTTGACATCTGCCAATTAATTTTTTGAAAGTGACTCGTTTCAAGTGATTATTTTCATTTTAGGTTAAATATGTTACCCTGAAATTAAGCTGACTGATCAATTAATTAGGCCTTAAAATTTTAAATTTCAGCATTTTGATTTAGTTCCATCTAACCATCTTTTCTTTGTAATGTATTGTATATTCTCGACCAACATAAACTGGATTCATAAGTAATAGTAAAATAAGCGGTGAACTGGCTTGCTGAAGCTAAGAATTTATCGTCGTAGTCTATTGGAGTAGCTTGGTTGCATTGATTATTCTGTATTTATTTTGGTGATGTTATATGTTCTTCGTAGAACTCCAAAGGTAAAGTGCAACGGCGTAAATCTTAGAAAAATTGATTCATGTGATACTGAATTCAGCTCCTTCGGTGTAATTGTTTGCGTTGTGTTATATGTGTATAATTTTTATTGTATTAGACACGGAGGTTACTCTATAAAGAAAAAGCTCAACTACTTATATTACTTTTTACGCACTTGCCCACTTCCTATCAATGCATTGAAAATTTTGTAATGTGTACTTATCTTACAATTACACCGATATGGAAATTTTATAGTAGTGGATAAATAAGATGAATCTTGACGCCTCGAATGCTCACTGATAATTTCAAAATATAGCATTTTCTTAATATCTCCATGGTAGTCGTTCTACTGAGGGAAATGCAAATACCACTGATGAAGTTATTAAAATATGTAATCATCAAGTAACACTACCATAATTTTATAATGTCTTATGCTGGCACAATTAACAAACATTTTCTTATCTGGTTCTTGATTATATGTCTGCCCCTTCTTGTCTTTACTGTCACCATTCAGATACATAACATACTCAAAAGAGGAAGAGGCCCTGCGATGTATTCAATCAGTTCATGGTTTTTTCCTGGAAGGTAGATATCTGAGGTAAGCAATCTTCTGTTCCTTGGTTTTGCCACATAATGTGCTATTTTGGAATTGATACGAGCAAGTGGAACATTGCTTGTGCAGAGCATCATTCGGAACTGCAAAATATTGTCATGCTTGGCTGAAAAACATGGTATATATTATTACAGCATTTTAAATTTTATTTTGACACCCTCTTGCAGAACATTCCTGGCAATGAGTGATGAATAATTGTTATTGTGTTTCAGCCTTGCAACAACCCTTCTTGTTTGTATTTGCATAGTATTGGGGCTGATGAAGATAGTTTTGGAAAAGATGAGGTTGCTGCGGTTCATACAAGGTATCATTTGATAGAGCCAAGGTTTAAAAATTATTCAACTGCTTGCTTACTAGACTTGTATATAATTGTTGCTGCACCAAATTAATCTGTTCATTAGTTCTAAATTTAAACAAGATTGTATATGCTCTATCCACAATAAGTATGCGATGGGCAAAGTTGCGCTATGTTAGTCATCATTCATGACTTGTAGCTATGGTTGATGGATCATTCCCTGAATTCTGTTTGTCTGGCTGACAATTATCTGAAATCGATTAATATGTATGTAAAAAATGTTGATTTCTTCAAGGAAATGAGTAAACTTGTCTATTAGTTTGATAAATAGCAATGTGCTTGAATAAGAGGATATGCGGAATGTATTAAGCAATCTTTACTGGAGTACCTTTCTCCCTTTAGTGGATCAGTTGTTGCTTTCTTTGGAAGCTGTGGTCATCTATGCTTCTTTCTCTCTTTCACTTTTAACACATACATACACACACACATACGTATTATTTGGGTTTGGCCATTCATTTTTTTTTTTATTTGGTATCATAAATAGTTTTTCATCAAATGATGCAAGGTAGAACATTTTCTAGGATTATTTCTTGATCATATTTGTGTGTGGTGCAACCATGGCATTTAAATTAGTCCATGGCATCAAAGTGCACCATTGGTTTGTCCCACAAACATCATTTACCTTTTCTTATATATATACAAGAAAAAATAATGAAACTTATTTATGTTTGTTATTTATTGTACAAAACTTATATATATATATATATATAAACTTTATTATTATGAAAATTACTAGTTACCACACCAAGCTCTCATATAGTGCGCAATGCTCTGGGAAACATGTACTGTGGCTCCAGAAACAATTTTTTGCAATGTTGTACCGACCTATTGCTGGTTAACTGCTATGGTTGTTTTTTTTAATAGGAGTAGAGTCCAACAAATTGCTGGTGCTACAAACACTGCAGCAAAACGCTCTGGCAACACGCTGCCCCCAGCTGATGATGCCTACAATTGTATCTTCTCTTCGACTGACAAATCTACTATGATATGTAGCATATCAGTAAGTAACCTTTTACCTAGAATTAGCATCAATTTTGGGTAGGTCCTAAAATATTTGCCATATTTTATTGTTTTTGTTCCTTCATTGCTTCTGCTTTTATCGACCAGGATGCTGCCCATGGTTCTGCAAATAGCACATGTGATATAACATACCCTCTTCCTTGTCGAGAGAAGGAAGGGGCCATTTTGACGCCCCACAAAATGACAAGTTTTGTAGATATTGTTGGGCGTTCTAATCGTGTTGATGATGAACAAGATCAAAGTAGTCCTGAAGATAGAAGGTTCCTTGACATGTGTTCTAAATTATCCTCACTAACAGTTAGCGGAGATGTACAGTCAGGAGAATCGTACTCTGCCTCTTCCCTGTTCGAAGTGTCTGCATCTGGTTGCCATGGGAATGGTTTGTATACAAATAGTTCGGACAAACCACTGCAGAATGGTGCTTTAGTATCCAACAGGCAGGGATCGAAGGATACCTGTGGCTCAAGTCATACCTTTTCCCTTCGTCCTTCCTATCCCGAATATCTTGCAGAACATTCAGATCGTCAAGCATTGACATCATTGCTACCTGAGAAGACACAGTCTGTGAATGATTTTACCGTTGATCAGAACAGTGTAAATAATCATGAGGACGAGGCTTCTCTACCTTTCAGAAATGTAAATTCCATATTAAATGATTCTTTCCAGGAAAGAAGGTTTCAGAATTCTGCTAAGTCTGATAGAGTCTATAGAAGTTCTCGGTCATTTTCGAATGAAGAAATAGTTGAGCACTTGCGAAGAATAGACGATGATGACACATCAACCAACAACGTGAAAAATCCTGCTTTAGATGCTGTGGAAAGTAGTATAATTTCTAATATAATGTCACTTGACTTTGATTCATGTGAAGATTCCATGACAGTGCCTAATCGTGTATCCGAGTTGGTTGATGAAACCTATGGCTATGGCTATGGTGGTTCTTCCTGGAGTTCCAAAAATACTGACCAGGCTGGTTATTCTTATGCTAAACAAGAGGGCTTTCAAACTCAAAAGGCCGGGTCTATCCTTCCTGATTATAGTGATAAAAAGGAGCTGTATCTACACAAGTCTCAGTATCCAGGTAGATGTCCATTTTTTCATTTTTGTTTCTTGTATATAGTATTGCTCTTTTAACAAATCCTCTTCATTGTCTGTTGTTACAGTAAACAGGGCCCAATGTTTAGCGCCACCTGGATTCTCGGTGCCCTCTAGGGATCCACCCCCCGGGTTTTCTAATACTGACCGAGGTCTCTCTTTACCCCGTGGCTCGTCAGGTCTGTGCCTTCTTTCTTTTTTGTTAATCTGAACAGTAGTGATGGCAAAACGTTTATTTGAAATGCATACTGTGTCTCATGTAAGATATTATGAAATGATCAAATCTTGCCACCGGAATATCAGATTTTTGGTTAAGATTTGGGTAGAGTTACTTATTTTACTGAGTATCTATAACTTTGGGAACCTGTTTAGTGTGGATTGTTTGTTTCTAGTTTTTTTGTTTTCCGAGAAAATGTGCTATGAATGCTTAAACCCGAGCTTTTTGTCTCATTGTCTTTTGCAGGTGTTCCTTTGACAAACACTTCGTCTATGTCCACCAGGCTTAACGCCAGTTCAAACTACCGTGACTCCGATTTATTCGATCCTACAATTTTAAGTTTCGCCAATGGTAAACAAACAAATGGTTTTAGTAACCCGGGGGGCTATGGAGCTTGGCCATTGGGAGGAAATCCGAGGTTGAGCTCGTTCGAGGAGAATGAATCAAGACTTTGGCTCATGATGCAGCAGAAATCATCCAACCAGGACTCGAATTTCTTGCAAATGTTCCCTTCCCAAACCCCATCTATAACTCCTGAAAGTTACACAGGGCACCTGAGGAATAACCGGCTGCCCGGGTTTGATGATATATACGGCGGTTTATCTTCAAGAGCAGTGGATCAACACCAATCTTTCTTCACAGACATGTCGAATGGTGAGAGGTATCCGAGTATGGGTGAAGTGCAGCGACATAAAGGGGAAGCAGCAGAGCTCGGAAGCAACGAGAGATTAGGAGGCGGGAACACATACTTGTCCAGGTATAGCGATGTAGTGTTGAATAGGGGCGATGTTTATGCGCCCCGAGTGTTCGGGCTGTAGTGAGTTAGTTGGCTGTGGTGACTAAAAAACAGGTTGGGAGGCCTGATCTATGCTTCAAATACACTCACCTTTTCCAAAAACTTTAATGATACATATAATCTTTCTGTGCAGTCCTGTTCTGAGAAGCAAATGAAATGAAAAAAAAAAAAAAAAGAAAAAACATTTTGGTTGATGTTTGTGTTTTGGGGATAGATTGATTAGCTAATTTATTTATTTGAGAATGATTGAAGTGCTCGTTAGAGTTAGTCAGTGATTGCTATGAGTTCTATTAGGCCATCTCTACCATGTAATTCTATTTATCTAGTTTTAACTCTAAATATGCAGTTGTTATAGTAATTTTATTTCGACCATAATTTTATTTTTCAGTATTATTTTTCAAATATTCAAATTTTCATATTATTTTAAATAATCTTTTATTTTTATAATTTAAAATAATCTTTTTAAAAATTTAGAAAAATAAAAAATAAATTTTAAAATTAAAATTTAAAATTTTAAAAGTTTTTTCTTTTTAAAAAAAATATAGAGCAACTCCAATTTGGAGTTAGCTACAGTGCTAATGCCAGAAAGTGGCGTAAGATTTGGCATCGATTGGAGACAACCGACCCAAATAATCCAACCCTGCACCATTTGGAGATGCTCTTAGGATAGTAAGAGCATATAGGTTGCTATTATGTACTGTAAGTTCATATAATTGTGCATGAGATTTAGAGCTTTTTAACATGTATACAATTATATATATATATATATATAAATCTATTTATAAAACATGGTGTCTATTAATTATTACACTTCAAAAGCATATCAAAACCCAAAATATAAATTATTAAAAACACTCAACCCCTAAGGCCTAAATAGCTGCAATATACTACTCCCTCCGTCGTGTAAATGTGTGCTTATTTGACTGGACACAGATTCTAACAAAAGTGAGTAATAATTGTTACTTTTTCTTTTTATAGTAAAAAAAAAAACAAAAATGTAATAATTTTGTACTTAAAAGAGAAACGAGAATATTTTTCAATGACAACCCAAAAAGAAAAGTGAACATAGATTTGAATGACGTATTAGCTATTGAAAAAACAAACAAATCAGTTTGATTTTCAATTATTCATTATTTTCTCTATTTTCGTAAAAACTATATATATATATAATATGTAATATATTACACAAAAAATTCGAGTCCTTCCAGATAAAAAGTTTGAATTTTGTTTTGAGTTTTACAAAATTTTCAAAACATTAAAAATTGTATATTTGATATAATATTTTTTTAAAAAAAAATTAATAATACCAAAAAATTCAAAAGTATATCAATATTTTTTTTTTATTATTCAAAATCATATTAAATTCTAAATCATAACGTTATACTTATACCTAAGATCGAAGAAAGAATTCTCAAATTGTATTATTATTATTAATATTATTATATTATTCAATTGACTACAAAGTCTAGGGAAGGCAATATAGGACAACAATTTTGTAAATTAATAAATATAAATTAGAGTGGACTCAAAAGAGTCATGGGTCAAGTCAAGAAGTGAAAAATAATTGATTAGGAATTATAAATATTTGTCCCACATATTATTATTATTATATTGACGTGACATGCCTCTTATAAAAGTAAAAAATAAAAAAAAAAGTTCAAATACTCGTTACAAAAAGTTACAAAGTCAAAATAACAAACAACGCACCGAATTATTTTTTTCAGCACATCTTTTATATTAATATAATACAAATAACAATATATGCTATAATTGATTTTAGTACGTGATATACTTTTATATAACACCCATATAATTCTGAACAAACATCACATGTATTGTGTGTAATAAGAACATGTGTTGTTTCTATATATTATAAGTGCTGAAAAATCAGCACGGTGCTTAATCTTCTAAATTAACACCGTAACTATTCCCTATATTTTGACACAATTTTTCATACCATACACAAAAAATCAATTTATCTAAAAATGCTTAACAGCCGGAGCCGGTATATATATAATTAGCATAAATTGATATCAAATAAAAATAGGTGGATTTTAAAAATATATATATTGTTGATGTAATTTTTCAACAAAAATAAAGTAAAATTCAAAGATATAGAAAATATCCTTAAACTTGATTAATTAGTGCCTGAGATTAGGAATCTCTAAACACTGTATGGTACAGAAAATAAACTGGAAAATAAAAGACTGAAATTTAAAGTGGTGATCCCCAAATCTGACTTTGCTTTGTTGAAGTTGATTGAAGATGCCTTGCCAAATGATGATCCAAATCCTTAAATATTCCCTGGGAAACCGTACTGAAAACCGTCACCCGAACGGTTACAACGTCTCCTTCTCAACCGTCTTCCAACCTTTCTTATGCTGACACGTGTCCCCAGCAGACCAAAATTCCCTATATTTCACTCCTTGAGCCGACCACAGACCTTCCGCTCTTTTGGCCCGACTTCGTCCTTCGTCCGACCTACTTCTTCGCCCGACCCCACTTGGGCCGACCTCCATATCAACCGCCCCCTGTCTTTGATCAAAGGCCTCCGTGTTTGTCCGACTCCTCCTTCTATCCGACCTACAGTTTACCCGACCTGCGGATATCCCATCTCAACGACTTTCCGTCTCGAGGACCTCCCGACTTGAAAACCTTCCGACTCATCGTCTTTCCGTCTTGCGGACCTCCCGACCTGAAAACCTTCCGACTTGAGGTCTTTCCGTCTTGCGGACCTCCCGACCGGAAGACCTTCCGACTTGAGGTCTTTCCGTCTTGCGGATCTCCCGACCTGAAGACCGTCCGACTTGAGGTCTTTCATCTTGAGGGCCTCCCGACCTGAAGACCTTCCGACTTGAGGTCTTTCCGTCTTGCGGACCTCTCGACCTGAAGACCTTCCGACTTGAGGTCTTTCCGTCTTGCGGACCTCCCGACCTGAAGACCGTCCGACTTGAGGTCTTTCAGTCTTGCGGATCTCCCGACCTGAAGACCGTCCGACTTGAGGTCTTTCATCTTGAGGGCCTCCCGACCTGAAGACCTTCCGACTTGAGGTCTTTCCGTCTTGCGGACCTCTCGACCTGAAGACCTTCCGTCCTGAATTTTTCTTAGAAATAAATAAATAAATTTATTTTCCTTGATTTCCTCACGGTGTCCTTCAGCCAGTTCAATCAACCCTATTGCCAGGCCCATTCCTCGTTTTACCTTGGGCTTTTAACCTAATTCTAAATTTCGTACGTAACAACTTGCCCGCCGCCAAGGGACTTTCAAACGCCAATAAATGTTTGGAAGTTCATAAAGCACTACCTTCTCGAGAAACTCCCTTAGCAACTACACCAGTTACTGCAACACTCCTGGTTTATTCCTTCTTCGCAATACAAGCCTGTGTGAATCACAATCCCAAAACATTCTAACTATGGCGAATCAATACATTCCTGCCCTTCCTTTCGACGGAACCCTTCCAGAAGGTCCATTTTCAGCCTCGAAAGTACTAACTCCGACGATCCGTCCATATTGCACTACTCCCGAAGATTCAAATCGGATGAGGGAAGTTTTGGAATCTCGCAACGCCTTGGCTATCAACAATCCCAACTACCAAGCAGTTCGCATCCGAGACAGCATCAAGACCCATCTCACAGACCCAAAAGATCTGTATCGTGCTTGGTATCGACGAGTAGCAGAACACTTCCAGACCCAATGGCGATCCCAAAAGATCGACCAAGCAATACTACTGTCTACCATGCCTATCAACCTGCATGAGAAGGTGTTGTTGGCCATGTCCGCCTTCTGGAATGCGGAAAATGGGACTTTCCTTTTGCCCTCGGCCCCCTTTGGCCCAACCCTTATGGACGTGGCCATGATCGCACATCTCCCAGTCGTGGGTGAAGACCCTGTAATGGGAGCCCTAGATGGGCAGGAGCCATCAGAAGACCATCCGGGATGGTCTTTACAAGGTGTGAAGGAATGGGGTTGGACAAAGTTCGCAACCGACCAGCAAGGGGCTCCAGGGACTCCTGTAACCGACCGGGAGCACACTGCCTTTATTCTGTTCTGGCTTTGTAGGTACATCATTGTTTCTCCTTCCAAAAGTGTTCTTCCTTCTCACCTCGACCTGGCCATTCATATTGCGTCAGGTCGGTTCTTCTCCCTTGGTACCCTATTTTTAGCCAATCTGTTTGAAGGACTCACCCGGGTTAGCCTTCGTTTAACAGATAACGATAATAGGAAATTAGACACTGCCGCGTCGGGTCCTTTTTGGTTTTTAGAACTTTGGTTCCGTCTTTACTTTCCCAACGCGTTTAACTTAGGATCTCCGCCCACTATGCCAACATCTGAAAAACATTTAGGATTAGTCCTCAACCGACTCTGCTCAGGACGCAATAAACTCCAATCATCCGATCCAATAATAACTGCCATTTTAACAGATACCCGCAGTAACTCTCGATTTTCTATGTATAAAAAGTATGCGGGTTATGCTCCTGACCATTTTTGGCCCTTTCCAGTACCAAACCCGCTTCCGACTCCTGAGCCTTGTCCTCATCCCACCTATCCTTTCGCCTGGGACGTCGCCCTCAAACCCAGGTCTCTTTTTAGTAGCAAGAAACTTGATAAAAAAGGGCAGAAAACTTTTTACACTTTTAACTATGAACCTCAATTCATGGCGCGTCAGTTCGGCTGTTGCCAAGGTATCCCCGGACCCGTCGCGGGTCCCCAAATAATTTTTCAAAATCCCGACCGACGAGTCCTTCCTAATTCAATCCCTTCTTATATCTCCCAGCTTACCACGTATATAATTTCCAATTCTTATATTCCCTTCCGCTCCAACCCTGAGAGTGTAGATACTTTCAATGAATGGTGGTCGGTCGTATGGTCCCTGATATCCCCTGATGAGGGTCGGTTGCTGAACGTACTCCTCCCTCCCCAAGGACTGGTTCTAGGGGCGGCGATACATACTAGCACCCAAAAACAAACAACCGCCCCGGGAATCGGATCTGGGGGTCCCACGCGCAAAAGAAAAACTTCCCAGCTGCAAACACCCCCGACTTCGGAGACCGACCAGCAAACACTAGCAGACCTTGGAATAACTAGGACGTCAGCAAGGACCCGACCCCGAATTGGTAATGTTTCTTAACACCGTGAACCAATTCACTATATCATAACTTTGATTTCACTCATTTCGTTCCCCAGAACCG